AATCGCCTAATCAAAATTTTTAAGGAAAACAAGCACTACTTAAAATAGATGTAATTGTTAATAAAAAAAACACCCGACACAAATTCATCTTATAAGAGTCTTCAAAATATATTTAATTTTTTTTAAACATTCATAAAAATGAACAACTCGTTTTTACAAAATGTTAAACAAATAAAAATGTTTGTTTAACTATGTATAATTAAATTGAGAATTATTAGAAATTTTGAATGGGGATCCCGATAACTTTTAGAATATAGAGCAGTGGAGAGGTGAATCTCCTCTCCTGTTTCTATGATTTTATGTCTATAGGGGTTTGTACCTAGGACCCCCTCCTCGTTTATCTACTGATACATTAATTGACCGAATATTGTAATCTAATTTAGATTACAATATTTATTCAATTAGTCAGATTTACTTTAAAAGAACAAACAACTTAATTTCTCACGAATTATCAAATTATTTCATTACATTTAATTCATGAATTAGATCATGTCCAAAACTTATTAAAATCAAAACATACCATTCGAATATATAAAATTTTATGATCACGTATTTTTCTATTATTTTCTTATAAAATGAGCACATAAAGAAAATTTTATTAAGATGTTCAAACCAAAAGTATCGTATTGCATTATGAAATATGTACAGGTACTCGAGAAATGATTTTTTAACGAAACAGGAAATGATAGTGTTATATTAGTAAACAGTTGGTTATAAAAATGGATACGTCATCGTCAAATCTTTTATTGTGGTCATTAGCAATTCGTTCGATTAATATGTTCGTAGTGAAGAACTTCAACATAATCTTTTTGAATTTAAAATAGACAATTAGAAATACAAAACAATTTTTCATACGACACGTCAACGATATAATACGAATTTCAATTGCAACGTTTACCACATTAATTTAATCGCGACCAAATTGGTTGGCTTACCATATGTATGGCATGAAAACAATACTTAATAATTACAATAAATGAATGATGGTCCTAATTTGCCGTTGTGCATTGAACCAAACAAAGATTATTACCACGGGGCACAGACAATAGAGTGGAGTGATCATTTGTGTCGCCGCATATATGTATAGATTCCTTTATTAACTAAATTGTCATTGAACTCCTAACGAAACATATGTAATGTTTTCCTACTGAATTGTTCTAATAGTATTATATAAAATTGTGTTTTACACTCATCCCATTTGTACTATTTATTACCGTGTTACTATTATTGAAATAGTCATCATAATAGAAAAGTGAGTACGTGGCTTTTACAAAACTCACTTACTTAAAATATTTCTATTTCTCACAGGCCTTAAATTTCAATTAGTCACTTGTAATCGTTCACAAATTCTTTAAATGTAAAAGGATTATCGTTGTCCAGATAATTGGAATATTATTCCGTTTGAATATGACCACAATGTTGTGATAAATGCATAGTATAAAATTATACAAATAGTAAATACTATGAATAAGTATGTTTATTTACAACTTCAAATGTCACAATAATTTGAAAGTGTAAACGCCAGTTGATGTTTTAAAAGCTAAAATGTTTGAATATTAATTATTCAATTGCATAAAAATTTCTAACGGTGAATTATTAGATAATTATATATCTAGACTCTATAAATGGTAAGCCGTCAAATATTTGTTTCTATTTGTAAATAATAAGAACTAAATGTGTTAAGTACATATGATATTATAATAAAATTTAAAAATCTGCATTTATACTAATTTATGATTTAAACATTGAAAAAAAAAAATGATAAGGTTTTTAAATACATAATAAGGTAAGGCTTAAAATATTTGTAGAAAAATTATCTTAAAACATGTATTTCAAATTTCTTTAATTACAGTATAGAAATAATTTAATCACTTTTAATTAATATCTTTTAGTATGAATAATCTAATTTAACTTATTGTTTAAATTGGCTATTTACAATACAATTAATATTACTATGGATTAGATTAATTATTTGTTTATTCAATGCCAGCGCTCAAATTTGAGGGTCTAATTGAACAATTTAATTAGAGATAACAGGCAATTATTTATAACAATAATTAAAATCACTATATAACAGATGACCAACTGCTTATATAAATTAAAATTTAGTATTGAGGTTAAAAGATAATAATAGTAAAATTGTCTGTAAAAATGAAGTGTCATCAAATTTATTGATATTTTTATGAGAATTGATTGTCTTATGTAGATTGCTACTAAAGTATAATATAAATAATAAAAATTACAACATTTATTCAGTATCAAATAAAATTTTAAACTGTTATACAAACATAATAATTTCTACTAAAAATAGAACAAAACAGAAAAACAATATTGTAGTAAAAGTGGTGCTTAAATGTGTACAAAAAATTGACTAAAACTAGAAAAAGAACAGCATATATTTGATAAATTAAATCTATTTACAACACTAATGGGCGATAAATAACAAATAGAAAAATAGACAGCCAGAAAGGTCTATTAATAGCAATATTTTTAGTTTATTATACACCATTTGTGTAACAATTTCAAACAACCGTTTTTAGCAGATGGCAAAAAAATTTAAAAAACGGGAACAAATTCGTTGATTATAGTTAAATCGATGAACAGATATTTGAATAAATGAATACTGTCAGTCGAACTGTCACTAAGAGCGATAAATTCAAATAAAAGATAAGTTCGTCAGAAAACTGGCATCGTGGCATTGATAAGTGTTAAGAATCTTTTTAACGCCACGTTTCTTTTAATTATATAATCTTACCAAAGCAACGTTGCCGATTTACTTATGAACTTGTAGCTATACCGTGGGCATGAGATAACGAAACTGTCTTAACCAATAGACTCTATTTAATAATAGACTCTAAAAATAGACTCTATTGGTTAAGACAAAAGCCTTCTATCTTACCATTTCACCGGCGAGTGGCGTTATCTCATGCAGTATAATAACTGCACTCTATTAATTGTATTACTATATTAAATATGACACTTAAGTTTGTTCAAGCGGTTATGTGAATTTGTTGCTCTTCCTACCTGGCTCGATTGACCTCAATATTCATTTTCTAAAATATCTGTCAATCAAATTAAAAATAATCAATTAATTTGTCAACCATTTGAATTCACTGATATATTAGTAATCGGGTGTAACTATTTTTATTATTACACTTTTTTTGCCCGCATTTTTCCACCCGCCTAGTTAAACATCCAATTGTTCACATAATAATTTTCTATTTTATAAGCTAGTTAGACATGTTTCCATAAAAAAAATAAAGTTAGTATCATTCTAAGGGACAAAGAATGGACCACATTTGATTACTTAAATCCAAAGATAAATACTACTCAACAAAGCCAAAAAAAAATATTTTCAAGGTTATAATTATTTTAGGAGAAATTAAGTGGGCAATGATAAATTAATCATACTATAGAACTATTTAAATAACATATTTAAAATTTGTTTAGAAATATTTCACGCAATTTTTATTTAACAATTTTTTTGTGTAACAGTTAACATAATGTATAATTTTTTGGGGAGGGGGGCATAGCTACCCTAGTTACATCTATAATTTGTCAGGATCATTAAATAATTAAAGAAGTTGACATTTCTTTTTAAATCCTCCATCAAATCTATCTATGCGTGTTTATTACATAGTTGAGTAAATATAACATTTGAATTTATTTATTATATTTGTCCCAAAACAAATATGAAAAAAAATGAATTATGTTTTATGAATACTAAGTACTCATTCAGTTTTTCTCTTATGATAAAAATGAATTTAAACTTTAAAATTCATCAACTGATTTGTTAACAGTTTTAGTTTTTTTAATAACATAATTATTTATAGTAACCAAAATGGTTCATACGATATTTTTTATAGAATTCGTTAAATGATAAAAAAATATCGAATCCATTTAAAAATAAAAATATATACATTATACACATTATACACATTTTCGCAAAAACTATTACAATCTTTACATTTTTTATAAAGAGAAATATTATTTGGTTTATAAAACTACAATAATATGTTGTTATATAAATTTTACTTCATCTCTTTAGCCACAAAAATCTTGCAATTTAATTTTCATTAAGTGGAATAGTTATTTTTTATTTTATAATAATAATAGCTATAACAATTTTATTCTTATGTTTCTTTTTAACCGATCAACCATTTTCTTTTTAAAATTGTTCAAAGATTTAGACTTCAAATAAAAGTTTATCATTGATCTGATTTTATAACAACGGTGGCCACAATTATCTGTTTCGGTAGCCTATAAGTAATTTGCTATGATAATTATCAAAAAAATTTTTGTTATCTTAACATTCTATTCTTCTATCTTATTTGTTATATTTTAGTTAATAAAAATTAATTATTAAAACAACATATAAAAATGAAGAATATCGTATTTGAAATAGTGAAATAAAAGTTTAAATTTAAACTAAAATCACTTAACTTTAACATGTTTTAACAGATGTACAGATTGCTGCAACTTTAAATACGCCACTGTTTTTAATCCAAGTAATTCTTTTCTTTACAAAAATTTTGAATATTGAATAGTTTCTAAGAAAATGATTGTCTAACTTAAAATTAATCCTTGTATATTTTTGAACTGAGATTTTAATTTTTTTTATTAAACTCACTACATGTATTCGTTTTATGCGGTTCGATAAATATCACTTTTCATTAGGAATGATTTTCGCTTATGTGAACTAATGACTTTTATTTTTTGTTTTTCGGCTTATCACATACATAGCTCCTCTTTGGTTAGCCATTGAATTCTTCCATTAATTTTGAATCTATTTAGATCATAAGATTAAGAATAGTATACATTTCTGTTTTTAGTATTATACACAAAAAATGTGTGTCACTGTTTTTATAATAATAATGATTTTTTTTATATTCTAAAATAATACAGAAACTTTAAATAGCACATTTGTAATTGTTTTTACTTTTAATTTACCGAATTAAATAATAAATGCTAGAAATTTATTAAAAATATTATTTGCGTAAAATAATTTATTTTTTTGTATGTATTGAATAAATCAAAATCAAAAAGATATACATTACCAGTATTTATAAGTAATGCAAATACGCATAAATTAAAATTAACCTTATTGACCACCGCATATGATATAATGTATAATCATGATTTTAAATTAAATGTTATTAACAATAATAGAATAAATAGTATAAAAATATAAAGTTTTTTCAAAATCTCATTGTTGTTACAAAATTAAAAATTTTATATTTTGCAAAAATAAATTTTGTTTTATTAATGATTTGTTATTTAATTAAAAGTTAAACAAATATTTAAACTAGTACTCAACAGTAGAAATGTTTAATCTGGAAATAATAATCAATTCACATAATATAAGTTAACACATAGGGTAACTGGTTCAGTTTAAATCCTCCTTGAAATATCACATACAAATGAGCACCACCACTTGAAATTTTAACTCTTTCTAGCGTTAAGTTTAAGTAATTTCAAAGTTTTCTCGGTTTTTTGAACTTAAATTCAACCTAAAAAATTTGTTTTTTAGTTAAAATTTTAAAGTAAATGAAATCATTTATCTAATATCAAGATATTAGATATTTATTCATAATAGGTAATATGTTAAAAGTTCGAAGTTAAAAAGATTATAATTATTTTGATAACTAGACGGGTTACCCTACGTATTTTCAAATATTATTTTAAAATATAAAATTTTAATTATACTTATTGATCAATTTAGTTTAAACTTGAGAATTTAATTGTATAAGTAGGAATTGTAACGACAAGTTGACCTTGGAATACATTTTTTTTGGAAAGATTAAAATTATTCATCAAGTATGTTATGATATATTTTTTAGATTTACACAAATTAGCACATGAGTCTTGTTTATGGTCTATTTGTAAAATATACTTTAAGAATATCATAAAAGTAATAGATATGATTATTTATATTTTTAGCCAGATCACTATAAATGTTACAAATATAAATTAGTTAATCTTACATAATTTAGCTAATGATCAGTTTGGTCACCATTTTGCATATTGTACCACAACTATTACTATGAATGTGTTACATAACGACTTGGGATATGTTTATAATGAACAAAAGTAAACCATTTTTGATAATTAATGTCAAATGTTTTGTATTGTTTATATGTATAATTATGTAATACTCTTTTTATTATTTCCAATGATTGCACGGAGTCATATTATTTATAGCCTCTAATTTTTAAACTTTAGACTCGTTATCGAGGATTTTTATTTTCAAAACTATAATTTCTCTTGATGGTATCTAACAAAAGTTAAGACCAATTTAAAATAGATAAAAGTTATAAACACACTACTATTTTATTGACTTAAATAGAAATTCCGGGTACTTTATACAATTTCATTTGTTATCAATCGGAAGACGCCAAAATTCTTTTCTTTCGCCTAATAAATAAAACGAACGCTCTTTTTATTAGTGGAATAATTTATTATGATCATGTCCTATAACGTGACTAATAGTCTTAAAACTGTATACATCATATTGTTACAGTTCCTGCCTTCTGAGTTATCTATTATACTCGAGTAATTAAATAGCATATACAAAAGAATGAAGCCTGCGAGTTTACCGCAATGTTCTTGGAAATTAAGAAAAAATATTTCAAATTCCATGATCTTAAGACTTTATTAAGGTCACGCCTTCCATCTCTTGTGAATTATCAAATAATTTTGTCGAAATTTAAGTTGCAATGGATTATTAAATACTCAGTTTTCTTTAGTTACCTTCCAATATTCACTGTAGATGTGTTTTAATTAAGCTAATAATCCTCAGGAAGAATTTAACTACATATAGAATAAAAAATATGTCTCGTCGACAACTCGCGTTACCAAGTTAAACGCATACAATTAATTGCGAGTTCAATGACTTCAAAATTTGATTACATGATTTTATTATTATAAATAAATTGAATTTTTAACTATCGCTTCAGTACATGGAAAAATTTTAGGAATAAATCATTAAGAACGAGTTAATACAGAGCACTCAGATATTTATTTAAAATGGGTCGACGTTCATTTGTTAAACAAATGGTAATAATTTTTTTTATTTTATCAGTCGAAGATATCTAGGAATAGAGAAAAACAGCAGTAAATATTTTATAATACTTATATCGAAGAGCTTGGACCAAACCGAATCTGACCTTGTAGCAATGTAATTGATGTAATTTGTATTGTTCCAAGGTCTTTTCGATAAACGTTACTGTATAGCAATACATCAGATTTTAGTTTTATTTCATACTAATATGCTTAATATTTTTCCGTTAACAATAGCCTTTCTCTAAGTAACCTCAAATTTATTGTACTCCAACGTTTATTTCGGTAACACTGGCACACAGCCGGTTACTCTGTGCACTTGTCTACCTAGACGACGACGTGCAATTTGAGGGGCGGTCGCAACATCAATATCGATAAAGTAAACGGTTGGTGGCGCATGACAACAGAAAACGTTGGCACAGGACGGCGGCACTTGCGAATATTGTGCGAAAACAATTAAACGCGAACGGTTTAAAAGTGATTTCTGCGCGTAATCGAAGAAGATCAAACGATAAAAGCCGACCGAAAGGCTTCCAGCGGCAGTAAAGTCGAATAAAAAAAAAAAAAACCCATTAAGGGAAAGTGGATGTTCGTGTCGTGGATTCGGGAGTTTTGTGTACTGCGGGGCGCATCGATAACGTCCAGGGAGTATCAATGTTGGGGTGGTGGCGGGGAAATGGCGGCCAGGGGCAATGCGCAGGAATGCTCCGCGCTCGAAACGTCTGCATGCAACGACGAAAAAAATGAAACGCCAAAAGAGAAGGAGAGCAAAAATCGTAGTACAAAACGCGTGTTAGGCTTTTTAGGATTTTCCGTTCAACGTGCGCATCACATTAATATTACACGTATTTTCCTTAACGATTACTGTTTGCGCACGCAGAGCTGTAACCACACAGTGTGATGTATTTACTCGTTTTTTCACTTCATTAATGAGTTATTACTCAATCACATGACGTTTACGTGACAATGAACCGTATCTGTTCAATTTTTTTCCTTTTTTTATGCCGTACAAAAATTAATGTAATACGTTTTAATTCACTTTCGTTACCTATTAATCACGAGCTGAACTTTGCCGATGGAAGGTGAGTGTCGAATGACCTACTAACGAAAACTTATTAGAGTAGCGTACGTTTTTCATAGATCAGTAGCTGAATTAGATGTCGTAGAGTTGATTGTAGTGAAATATATGACCCGGACAGTAAACTTAGCCGGGTAATTTTTGTTTTAATAGATTCTACGGAGTGGGTCATTCGTGTTTTTCTACTCTAAACCACCGGCATTTCCTCGCTGAGATAATAAAAAAACAAAAAAACTTGCGTTCTAGAACACCACGAACGAACCCGATCGTGTATTTGTGTTTAAATGTTTATGCAATTGGCATCTGCATTTGTGTAGTTTTGTACTTACATTTTGTTCCACATATGGTATCAAGTTTACAATAGAAAATAAACAATGCAGTAGGCATTGTATGATTAACATGACGACACGTAAAGGCTGGGAGTTGAATTTAAAATAAACTTAATCAAACAATAAGTGTAATAATAGTAATACATTACATTCTGTTATCTGTGCCTTACAATTTACTAGTGAAACAACTGTGTTCTACTTTTTCGTAGTTACAAATGTTGTATTTTTAGTGAACCTATCTTTGTAGTAAAGTAATCGATGTACCAAAGTTTTATCAATAGATAAAAACCGAATAACATTGTCTACGCAGTAAAATGTGTATAATTCATAGTAATGATAGAATAACCATTGTCTCTCTCGTGCGTAATCAATTGATGTGGTAGAAAAAAGTACTTATTTTAAAACAAAACAAATTATTACTGATAGTATGAGATATGTGACATTTGGAGTAATGAACGCCAGAGCGCGTTAGCACAATAGATGTTTACAAGTTTTCCATTTCAAATATTAAAGAAAAAATAGAGAAATCGGATACGAATGTCGGGTGCTATTGCGTTATTGTATTGCGCATTATTAAAATCTTAATTTTGTTGAAATAATTAACAACTTTGTTTTTACATTTTTTATTTTAATTCTACTTTTGTGTTATGGGAAGACAACATCGATTTTACCTATTAAATGTCTCACAATCAACAAAAAATGTGTTTTATTTTCTCGATAGATCGGTGTCGTTGAGAATTACAACATTTTTCAGAGACTTCATTTTACCAATAAAAGTAATTTAAGAAAGTATGAATGCTTCATTCTATCAGTCAAAAAACTATTAACACAGAGTTTTTTATTTAGTAAGTTTACATCGATAACTCCTACTAAGTCGTAGCTTAATTTTGTTTCTGTTCGTTATATAAGATTTAAAATAGTTATGATTATATATATTTTTTGTGTTATCAAAAAAAAAAAAGTTAAAAACTTTGAGTTATGCCCTTTTTTTAGAAGATGTCCGACACATTGTCATAGCCTCAAGGCGACTAAAGCGGCTGTACCCTCTCCAATGGCCAATTGTTACTATTAACAGTATAAGATTTTGGCGTTCGTAAGACCATATGAAAAGTAAAAAAAAAAAAATAACTCGTTAAGCAAAAATCTTGTTTACATTACTGTGTGATCCCAACTGTAACACGTCCTCCTCAGAAAGTCCTGATGGCAAATTATCAAATTAGTTGATGTTTAATTAGAGAATTTTCATTCGTAATAACAAACTTGAAAAATAGATTAAGTTTCAGTTTGAGTGAAAGCAGTAAAAAAAAAAAATAATTATTTTATATTATTATAACATTTTATACTACACTATACAAATAATTACACAGTAAAATGTGATGATAAAAAACACAAAATAGTGGTAATAATAATGGCAAGCTTATTTTTATGACCCCATCTGTTTTTTAACAGTAGATAGGTATTGTGTTGTTTGCATGTCCTTTGGATCTGACAAACTCATTACTACATTATTACCTAAAGAGTATTTCTTTCTATATTGAACTGTAAAATATATATTATTTCATTCGTACATAAAAATATTATGGGCCTGAATATAATTGGGTAAGAAAGTAAATATAGTTGTCAATTTAATTATTTTATTCCACGTGTATTATAAATTACACTTAATTAAATTTATTTTATGAAAAATCAGTCAATGAAATTCGCCGAGATCAATTTATTTATTTGTAATACATTTTATCTAATCTTTTATTATCAAATGTACGTGTGACTAGAATACTAATTATTATTATGTTACTCACTACTAATTAAAAAAAAACTTTCCTCTTCCTTTGCCGTCTCATATTTTTTTATTCGTTTGGAGTACTATTTTCAAATTATGCCTGTATATTGTTAAATATTGACAATACCATCATCAACGGTATTGAAAAAACTCCCAGTGGACATTCCATAAAAAAGAAAAACACATTTAATACAGCGCAGTGCATTTTGGACACGTTCTTCATAAGCTTAAAAAGCGGAGCATGACTACTTTGCGTCTTGTTTACCACCGAATTGAATATACAGAAAAACTTTCATCGGCGCCTTCTACTATTCACTTCCGGTTCTATAATATGGCGATGGAAATGCTCTTAAAAACAGAATTTTTTTTTGTTTGCACAATGACAGTCCAAGAAGAAGAAATGTTAGAGATCACATTATTAAAAAAGTTGTGTACACATTGAAATTCTATAAAAATAATGATAATGACATGGTATATTAATATAATATATAGAAATACGACGACAATCGATAAAAAAAATATATTAATCATGTGTACAATCAATCGTAATGACGAAACACTCTTGTTTGACAGTCAGCAGTTTGTTATTTTCTTTTTTTATTAAATACAAATTTTTACTTAGACTACAATATCTACGTATAGACATGCCTGCTAAACGTATAATGTTAAATTTTTTAAGTTTAAGGTTTTCGTCCTGGGGCAAAACGATCTGACTAGTAAAAATTCTAAAGTCCATTTTTGAAGTTAAATCTACAATTTATTCACATACATTACCAGGTTAGCACTTACGTTGTAATTTATTAAACTACACTATCTTGCTTTCCTTTCCACAATGGTCATCCCAAGACATTATCCTTATACTTACATTTTTGAAAACCGTAGGAAGCCGAATAGACGGATGGTTATGTCAATGAATTAAGTGTACAATTTTGCTTTATGTTCAATGAGTTTTCATAAGTGAAAGCATTTCTTAGACTTCTTTTTGAAAATTTGCTTTATGCTTATTTTATTATATTCCATAAAAGCCAAAACAGTTTTCTTCCTATAGAACGTTTTTTTAACTTATTGTGTATTATATAAAAAACAAATGGACTTTTAAAGTTCTCAAATAATAAGATAATATGATAGGCACGATAGTGAGATAGTTGGGCAATCGTTTTCAAATTTAACTTCCTTATAAAGTTTAATTATTTATATTACTGTTTATTTAATTGCACGTTAAATTAAAAAATAAGGGAATAAAAAATACCCCAACGATCAATAAACTAATTAATAATTCGATAATTACCGATGAGTTAAAAAAAAAGTAAACATTTTTAAGCTCGGGTCAAAAAGTGGTTTATTATAGCCTCAAGTTCATATGAACTGTAAGTAACATAATAATGATCAATTTTGAACTTTTTATTATTTGCTACCTATTACTTATTCATAACTGTTTCATATAAGTCTAAAATATTTTTTAAAATCCCATTTTTTTTAACTAGTAGTTATCTGAAACAAAATATTTTACTCTGACGTCAAACAAAATAAATTTTAATATTTTAAGTACAATCGTGACTTGATAAAAACATGCGTGTAAAGTAAATGATAGACAATATATAACTCAATGATTAGATATAAAAATAATATCTATTTCATAAAATCCATGACAATTGTATGCTTTTACATAGAAATTTAATTGATATTATGTATACGACTCAAATTGGATACTATTATTCAGTAAATTTCTTTATTGCTTTATTTTACTCTGGATCGCTATTTAAAAATAATCGAAAAAAAAAAGTAATCACGGCAACAAAACTCAAACATAACTAATCATTTCGAGTGGGGGTGGAGTTACGATCCACTAACCCTCCTCCAATGCGCCACTGGGCTAATTTACTATGCTGAATTTCGATCACTTTTATATAGAGTATTCAGTTTTCATTTTTTGTAACAATTGACATGTTTCCTTACTTACTGAACACTCTGTAAATTGAACTATATTGTTATATTACTATTTCATAGTCGAAATTATATATTTATTACACAATTATATCTCTGTATTATCGACTTTTTTTTAAACATTTTACCTCGACATCAGACTATATGATTTATACGTACTCGCCAGTTGTTTAAATTAAAATCAATTTAAATTATTAGGAGAAGTTAAATTGTTCACAAAAAAGAGCAGTGTACGACAATATAAACAAATATTTATGGCTTTTATAAACAAATTATTGTGTCAAAATAACGAGTAAATAAGTATTCATGGAAAAGCGCCTTACAAGAAAGAATTAGACAATAATATTAACATTAGTATAAAATATTTCTAACACATTAAAAAATTGAAACAATTAAATTTTTTATAAAAACATACTTAAAATATGTGAAATATATGTTATTCGTAAGAATGTTGTTTATGAAAGATTATTTACACTCCATAGGAGCTAAAATAAAAAAACTTTTAATAATATTTTTTTGAAAACTTAGAATTCAGACACCATCTTAATCAAATTATCGTTATGAACACTTATACGTACTTGTCTGTAAAGAACGTGTCTTTCATAAAAAATATATTTGGACGTTTTTTTGTTATCGTAAAAGTGATAACCTATTTTGATCTAACACAATAGAGCCAAAAACTACAACACTTGTTGAAAACTTAATTGAAAAATGTAAATTACTTCAGTATGTGATGGGTATTCCATCGGTGTCAATATTTTTAATGTCAACATACCTTTGTAGTTTACTCGTACATAGAAGTTAGATTAATTTAATTTGAATTTCACTCTATCGCCCAAAGTAATTCGATTGAATTGTTGGGATGAAAAATTCACTCTGAGATAGTGACATTGTAAATAGAATATCAACATAAAGATGATAAGGTCAAGAAGTGAAATTTTTTAAATGTAGCTTAATTTTGAATTATTGTTTTAATCAATAAAGCTGTCAAAAAATGTATAAGAAATCAATGGGATAATAACAATACAGACAAAAAAATACATCAATTCCTACAATTGGTAATGTTATATAAAAACAAATAAAAATTATTATTGATGAAAAAATTGCATGGAAAATTTTTTTTTTTTATTATAGTTATGCATAACTGATGTTGGCAATATCAATTAATAAATTGTACTTGAATCAATCAGTAATATTATGTTAATGATGTTTAGAATCTAAATTCGAAACAGGAGTCTTTAATTGTACCACGTGTTTTAAGGTGGTCCTTATCAAATTTAAAAAACTCGATGCCAGGTTTTTAGTATTTTGTTCTGTACAATAACTAAGTAATATTGGTCAAGTGCGAGTGTTGTAGGTCAACCTCTTTGTGCATATCAAAGATACTGAAAATTGACGAAGAGGAATAGATTCGTAGTAATGTGTAACATATGTACACGATAAATGCTTCAAATGTTGACCTCTCTTCAACAATATTCAATCCTTGTGAAAGGTATGAAGGGGTGACCTAGAATATTCAAACTTTATCAAAGTTATTTATTTATTGTACAGAATAAAATCAGAATATCTGGATTAAATTTTTTTTAGATTGAAAAATAAGGACCACCTCCTTAGGTGTAACGAATAATTTCACATTTCGACGGGTTGTATCACGTTTAAACATTCTTTGACCTTGTCAATTTATAGATTTTTCATACTTCATGATTAATATCATAAAAGATGTGCAAATATATCACTGTCGAATGCTAACTATCGGATATTAATAAAAATTAGAGTTTATCTTCTTCAATATCAAGTAAGTTAATTCAATTATTGTGGAAGTAATTTTTTTTTGTATTTGCTACTAAATTTATAACTTAATGTTACTGCATAAAAATAAAATTCNTATAACTTTAATAACTAAATTTATAACTTAATGTTACTGCATAAAAATAAAATTCAAATATCTATTTTAATATTTTTATATTTCCATAAAAATAAATAAATTATTTTCTAAAAATGTTGACAATGTATGACATGCATACTTTGTCAATAATTTCCCTAAAGACAAGTCCCTGTAGGGACTTATAAAAATGTATTCATTAATGTACGGACTAATACAGTGCAGGGTGGAAATCAAAATGTTCATGTTTTAAATTTAATAGTTTTTCAATTAAATTGTTATCTAAAAATGTATTTAAAAAAAGCTTAGAGTTATAGTCACACGTATCTATTAAGACCAGGTTTATTCGTTAACTTGATAAAACTTGACGTAACGTTGCTAAAACTATTTTTGTTATCTATTCACTGACAAAACCAATCTCTTTACATTAAGCCATTTAGTCTTACAAAATATTTGTTTAGATAAAAAAACAAACATTTTAGAAGGGTGGTGCAATTAGTGCTCTGCGAGAGACATGTATGTTTCTACGGTCACATGTTGTTATTATTATTGTTATTATGGTACGTGTTGTTATTTTTTAACTGTTGATCACACAAGGCCGACAAAAAGAGACATGCGCCCAATAGAACATTCCGCGATCACGCTCTCGACCAAAGGCGAGTCCGAAGTCGGTTTAGTGGCGTTTAACAACTTTTCGCGATAGTCGAACGATTTGTCGAATCCTCGTACTCTTCGTGATTTTTAGTTTTCAATTTTTCACTGTGTTTTCATCCTGTTATAAAAAATACAATGATCTCGATCGTCGATTTTCTTGCCAACGAACAATGGCGCTTGCAACGACCCGTCGATTACCACGAAGTTTTTTTACGGAAAATACTTATATTATTATAAATTTAATAACATAATAATATATCGAAGTGTTTGGGTGATACTCTAAATGTATAGGTAGGATTATTCTTGGTTTGCTGTAAGATGAAATTAAAGATATATAAGCCAGTGTAATGTTTTGCCAACGTTATCGCGTGTCGCGTTTGAAAAAAAAAATTATAAGATTAAACACATTTTTTATACCCCATTATTTTATTTTATCCTAGTGATTTTTTTTTCAAATAGGCTGAAAAAAATTGATGGTTTAAAATCTTCCTACAATGTACCCTTGAGGTGAATTCGTGTTTGTTATAGCGTTTCGCTTGTCAAAGTAATTTTTACTTTGCAAAGTGTAAACTCTATAAAACTCTTCACATGCATGCAATTCATACTCTATCATAAAAAATATTTTATTTTCTACGAACAATAATGTTTGAAATCATTTATATATTTTATTTCATTTGCTTAATGTTTAAATCTTGCGCATAATCGATTCCATACAAATGTATATAGATTGAACACTACAAACTATAAAGCAAATAAAATACAAAAAAATTGTTTAAATAGTATATTTAATATAAAATAGACCATCTTAAGGTTAAAATTAATACTATTATTCTCAATCAATTATAAATCGTATACAATTAAACAACATTTAAGAAAATTAATATAAAAAATATTAGCCTTCACTTTTTTTTTAAATTTTTATTATTTTTAATAACTATATGTACAGTATTGAATTCATGTCTACTTCAGGAGGAGCTGTAACTATTTCTGGGCATTGCGTTAGCGCCCTTTTAAAATATATGGGTAATTTATAGTACTATTTAAATTTCATCTTTTATAGCTCCTAGAAAAAAATATATAAATTAAATACTGGGTGGTGTATTTGATTTATAATTGACTTTGAAAATGTATTTTTTAAATTAATACAACATGAAATTAAATAAATCGATAGAATACTATTAGATCTATGTAAATTTTAAATATTATGAAACTTATTGACATTTTTTCTGATTGTATTAATACGAAGAGTTAAAAAAAATGAATGTTTAATGCGACGTGTTGACATGATGGACATGAGAGTGAATTTTTATAGATTGATATTAGCTAATCATCGCACAACATTTTTATATTTAGGAATTGATGTATGGCTAATATTATAATATTTTATGATAATCATAGCTCTAAATATTAATAATTCAGATTCAAACTAAAAAATGACACGTATGGTAAAAATGAATTTATAATTAATAAGGTGTCGCATTATTATTTCATCACAACAATCATTAATTTATTTTGACGAACATAAAATATTGAATAATATAATAGATCGAACAAAGTGCATTTTGAAATATATTTTAAATGTAAATATTGAATAAGAAATATATATACATTAGACATACCTGAGAAAATAAATAAAAAAATATTTTTTTATAATTTTGTATTTTATACAAACTGATCTGATGAAAACATACACAATGGATAATAATCAGAAAGTAACTAAAAATATTCTATCTTATAATATTTTTATTGCAACCAACTGCACGTGTAGGCAATTTCAACTGAAATATAGAAAGCGATTAAAAAGTAATCTTGTAAAGTTTCGCCTCTCGTGTACAGTATAATGATGAATACATATAAGCTCCTGTAATAGTAGTTTCTTTGTTTAAAACATGACAGTAATTACGTTTATGTTCATCAATATGAACCGACTTAACTAACCAGATTATGGAAAATTCTATGTTTTTCATTGGTAACGACTTACAATGGAACATGGGAAAACGAGTGTTTTATAAATTGTTAATGCACTTCGGCATATGTAATTAGTATTGGCTATTTGTGGAGGGCTCGATGATAACAGAATGTAATGGATTATAGTTTATTTTATGATGATTTTTAAACATGATATATCCCTGTGCGTGTAATACTTTTGCCTAAAACTAACGTTTGTAGATTTGGTCTATTAGTTTGAGAGCAATTGTTATATTCACACGCATGTTGTTTTTCTCTGAGACAACTTGTCAAAGTAGTACAGCCATTGGTAGAACTCATCATAGACAGAACGCATTAAAAATCACCGAGGAAATGCTTAAGGTTGATCATTAATGTTGTGACAAACATGGTAAAATATACGCTGTGTTATTTCTTACAGGATAACGAGAATGAGCAGGACCCAGAGGGGTCTAGTAGTAGGCCTGTAAACTTAAATCTCTGTACTAGTTTGTGCTGCTTTTGCGGTTTTTCTCTTGTGCAGAGTGAAATGTACGCAGCTGCAGGAGGCGCATCTTTAGCCAGCAGACGGCACAAGCATAAGCAAAGGAATACGGCTGACACCGATGCTCTTATACATCAACAGTTTCAGCGAAGGTTTCAGCAGCACCAGCAACAATATGCTCCGGCCTCGTTGGATCATCTACGGGCCTCCACTTCACTGGTTACCCCAACCACTCCCATTTCACCATTCGGTCAAGTCAAATTGCAAAGTCCGTTCGAACTCCCCGAGGTAAATACAAAAAACATACATAAGTATGCCATACTAAAACAGAAAATGTCTGTGTCAAATACTTTTTGCGCTGAATTATATACTATGAAATTGTTTATGAAAAGAGATAGCCCAAACGAGTGATGAGATGACAACAATTAGTGTAGTATAGTATACAAAATACAGATGTGTTGTTTGTAATTCCGAAAAGAATTTGACTTGAACGTGTTAATTAATAAATTATGTAAATTAATAGTGACAGTTAAAAATATTGATTATTCGAAAAGATAACATTTGATAAACATTTATATTTAATCATTTTAATTATACTTGGTGTGTAGGGGATTTATTTGGATCAAATTCTTCATGTTAGATAAATTTTATATGCAACCGTATATTTAATTTCATGAATTTTGAAAGTTAGAATTGTCATAACAATAATAATTATCTTTGTTTTTCACGCACTGTCTAAGTGAAATTTGCTCCTTGACTTGAACCAAAACATGTCAATCTTAAATAAATCAATCAAATTTGGAAATCATAGATATAATTTCGGAAATCTTTTGTTAAGTTTAGCATTAATTTTTCAATTGTTAACCGAGGCGATGACACGGGAAGGTATTAATTAACAAAGATTGAATTTTACAGGAGAAGAAAAAAACATTTATCTCGCAACATTTATATCGCGTAGACATACGAAATGCATTGCTATTTACATTTACAGGGTGAAAAATGATTTTTTCTATAAGATGAGACAAGGTTTCATATTCAGACAAATCTAAGTCATAAAAAGTTGGCTTAAAACTAGAGTTAAAAATCCAAAAATTATACTTTTTTAATACTTAACGAATTATTTATCTAAATATAAACTCATTTCATGGGTGTTCTTAGAGTTTTTTTCTTAGGAGAGATATACACAAGACATTTCTTTTACTCTCTCCGAAGTACACCTATGCTATGAATATTTTTTTTATCGTGGGAGATTCTATCTCCATTTTCTCCCTGTGAGAATGACTAATTTTATAATATGACGATTAGTAAATTTTCAATTTATTGACGGCATTTGATTTTACAAATATTATTCGAGAGAGTCAAGGCAAAACCTATTGCTTTGTGTGAGTTATCATTTGAAACGTTGCGTTTTAGAAGTATAAGACTTGATGACGGTTCTATTTGAACCTTTGTAATTCTTGTAATCAATTGGTCGTACGGATTCCTATTATAATTGAATCGATGCACATAGAGACCTGTATACATCTATTAATTATTAAACTTTGAAGTTAGACTCATTTGCATGATATTTGAATTCACTGTGAAATATTTGATCGAATTTCAAAGTGAATCGTTGTCGGATTGTTAATGACTTGGTATATGATTATAAAAGCTTTTATATGTTTATCGTATGGATAGTACGGAGATTTGGATGAATATTTTATATGCCGTATGACGATCCAGTGTAACAACAAGGACAAGTTTGTCTTGTATAAAAAAGAATAAAAATAGCATATATGATCTTTGATCAATCGTTCTTGATTGAAATTACAATATATTTGTCATTTTATCTTTTTATAATCGTATGCACTTCAAATATAGTTATAATTTACATTATAAATCAACAAATAAAGTTTAGTGTAGTATGAAATTCAAGTGTGGGCGTAAAACGGCTCTACGATTGAATCATATCAAACAATAGAGAAACATGGCGCAAAGTGTAGGCAAAATTAATACATCGGTGTATTATGTAAAACACATATGTTTTACAAATCAATTATTATTATTAATGCACATAAATTAATAATTTGATACAATTAAAGTTTAAAAAAGTAATTTAATTAATGTTTTTTTTTTAAATTAGGTTTACAGCGAATTATTTATTTTTATCTACTAACTTTTGATTTATATTTCGCTTATTACTGTAAGTATTTGTATGGTTTTAATATTTTTACAGACATGATATTTTTGTGATTTATAGTGTAAAACACTGCACCATTTGATGACATTAAATTAACCTTTTGTTTTTGTGTGGGGTACGCATATTTTTTAAATAATAATAATTAACGTATCGCCAAATACCGAATAAATGAAGTTAACCTCTTCATATTTAGTGGAATTCGCTCAATAACGTTGGCAAAACATTGAATCTGCGCGCTTCTGTTAATAAAAATATATTGTTATTTTGTATAAGAAAAATGATATAATTTTTCTGTTACATCGAGAAAAAAGAGAATATTGATGCGTTATAACATACGATTCGTTAACCAGCATGCCAAAAATGTAATATTTTTATTTGCATATTAACTTAATACCTAAACTTGGTTTTAGGTAATGATATTTTATAAAAAAAAAAATTCTGTTATGATCCAATAGAAGACAAATATTTAAATAGATAACAATCATTGTTTTAAATGTTTTTCAATTATAAAAATCGTGATAAAATTGGAAAAAACAAACTGAACATTTACTCTAATGCGCGTCAATATTTTCTCGTGTCGCATCAAATTAAAAAAAGAAAGGATCACTTCATAGGTGACTGCAACAAAGACGTCACGTTTCTATAGTTAGCCCGTCCGAATTCAATATACGTATCGTACATTAGTGGATCAGCTAAGAGGTTATATTTAAATCCACACTGTCAATCATGTCTTAATCTCGCAAAAAGCCATACTCGTTCAGCGAAACGATGAGAACGAAATTCCTCAATGATGTGTCCTGATTATGGCTAGCTCCGGTATGCAGGCAGCACTTTATATTCGAGAAAGACAAAAGATCCGGGTGAAAAAAATCCGCAGGGATAGATTCCAATTGCCAAGTCACGTGGCCACGAAAAATATCGCTCCTTTTCCGGAGTTTCCTCCTTCCACGTGGGTATGTATTGTACAAATTATAACACGGCGTAAAAAACTGCATTAGCGTACAAGACAAAATACAAATTTATTTACAAAAGTACTATTTTATTTACAAATAAAAACATTAATTTTCAGATACTGAGTTAACTGCTTAGCATTTTAAATGAGGATAACCACAACGCATGTTTAATATCATTAGCTTTATGCCATTTTTTTTATAAATATATATTTTTATTGTACACCATTACAAGTAAATGGCCACAACAAATAGTTTGCACTGTATGCGTTATGAGCATACACATATCGTTAGTTTTTTTGATCTGTTGAATAAAAACTATTTTGGATTGTGTCCATCTATAAAATGTCATTTTTATTCCGTTCGTGGTAACGTTGAAACTATTAAGTTGCGACTATAAAACTGTTTGCATCTTTTAATGTCGAGTAATAAATAAATGACTGAAAAAGTAAACTACATTATAATGTAATTGAAAACATTCGTCATGGTTTTTTTTTCCAGAAGCTGATTTTTCTTGATGTAGTATCGTGTTAATAGAAAATTATAATATCGTTTAAAAGATTATTAACGAAATTTCAACCGGTAGATTTAATTCGATTTTAGAGCTGAACATATAACCTAATGAGTTTCATTTAACAAATGCATTTTATCATATTAATTTTTGTGCAAGTCAAACTAACAAGAACTGGCCGCAGATCTAATACTGGCCATAAATTAATATGGTTTAACTATTGTGAGTCAGTATATCAAAAATATATATATCGAACAACCGAAATATTTTCAAGCAAACAATATTGGATAGGATTAACTTAATTATAGAAAGTGCACACGGTATACATGTCATAAGGGGGCACATAGACAAACAAAAACTTCTTGTAGGTACTTAAATAAAAGAGAATTTGGAAAACAGGTTAATAAATGTTTAGAAAAGACGGCTAATCTTGTTATCTGCCGTACTTAATGAATAGTTCTTTTGAATTTAATGAATAATTTAATGGATAAACATTTTGAAGGTTATATCCGTACTTGAAATAATTTAAGTAATTGTGGAGCAACATCAATACAACACTATAAATCCAAAGTGCTTTCTTTATGGGAAATATAGTTGGCATTGCGAATAAAATGTCAAAAATATTTAGATGCGCGATTTCATCAAGTTTGTTTTATTATTGGCTGTAAAATTTTGGAAACCGCGATGAGAAATGAAAATTGATAAACTTTAAATAGTTCTGACGCTCTTAGGTACTATAAATGTAAACCACTTTCTAAAATTACTCGACCCCAGAAATTTGTTAAGGCTGTACCGTTGAAAATAGCCTTGTATTTGTCGAAACCTAAGTTTAAAGTTTTATTGTTTGTATGACGTTTTAATGGTTATGAATGTTTGTATTTTATTTATAAACAAAAAAAGATCAGATGATAAAAAAATAAATCACTTCTATACAGATTTAAGGTACTTCCCTTGTTTCATCGTGTACATTTCTTTAACGCTTAACTCATACAAAAATATGATACGGACAAATTTACTCTAAAAAGTTTATTACTTTTTTTTATATTAGAATTAGCGTACCTTTAACAAATGTTTTTACATACGTATATGTCGTCAGCTTAAAGATTTCATCTTTTTATGATCTCGAGTACTTCAAAATAAATTCAATAAAGATGTACGTTTAAAAAATCTATGTATTATAATACATAGCAATAGTAACGTATTATACGAGTTATTATATAAGTTTAGACTATTAGGTTATTTATTTTCTAATTATTTTTTTCAATACATTTTATGTTGAAGAAGACGTGTCTCCTTCGACATAAAATGGTTTGTTCTAAACCATGACTTTATACCATTAAATTTTAATTTTCATAAAAAATTTCAAGTTTGATATTCTTCATGAACTTCAGATTATTTATATTATGTTACGTTACAATTAAAAATTTTATATTGTTAAATAACTAAGTGTTCTCAAGCTCCCTAACATGTAAAAGAGGATCACCACCTTCTGTAAAATGTTAAGTTCGGGAGGATGTAAAACCGATCGTTTTATATTGTTAAATAAACTGTTTCATGTAAGATTAACTTGAAATTAAATTTTACTATAGAGAAATGAAAATATTTATAAAAAATACATATATATATATTGTTGAAATTGTATTACCTAACTGCGCAACAAAGACCATAAATTATGTGTAGAGATTACCAAGTAAATGTCATAACAAATTTATTTCTAGGAAATGAACATATTCTATAGATTAAGAAGTAGTTAAGTTGATAAGAAGCACCAAATTTAAATTTATATAATAGACAAAAAGGTTATAATATTTTAATATTTCAATTATAGTTAAATTTTCTTCAAAGAATACAAAATATTTTAGCATCAAACATGCTAATGAGTGATTAATTAGTTACATTATGAATCCATTTGCACAAAATCCTTAGCGCACCTGTAGTAATATTTCACTTTAATATTCTTATAGCTAAACGTTCGATTTAACCATTAAAAAAGTATTTTTTCACGTAGTCTAAATTGGATAATTATTATTTTTGCAATCGTCAAAAATTAGATTGATTTTCCCTGCGTTTTTTTTTGTCTAATCCAAAATAAATATTGATGTTCTAAATAATAGGCATGTGATTTCGTTCTGATCCGTTTTCCTACACATTTACAGAAATGACACTGACAATTTTAATAGTCGTTATTCATATACATTTTTTATTATCAATGCGAGGTTCGAGTGCTCAAAAATATAATGCACGACTTTACAAAAGTTTTTCATAGGATCATTATGATCAAAACCGGCGTTAGAAAGTTCTATTAGAAAAAATTGAAACAAAAAGACGATTAAGACAATAATTTTACTCGAGTCGTACTTAATACTTCTTTTATATGCTTTTGATAATTTTTTTTTGTTAAAATGTTACATAAAAATAGCGATTACTAAGAAAAATACCGAGCTGAGGGAGTATCCTCCCTTAAAATATGCTCCTAAATTTTACGGAATAAATAACTTGTATACAGTAACAATAGGAATTTTGATTTTTTCACACTCAAAATCACCAGTTTTCTAGTTGAGTTTGCCGATAAACAAAATATATTGCCATTAATTAAGTCAATGAGTCTTAACCATTAAAAGTATGTTTTCAACAATGTTATGATTAAATAACAACATACAATGAAAATCACAAGTGTTTTTTACACCAAATCAGTTTGATATGTCTGCTTAATGTAATTCGATAAATTAATGCTAAAATAAGTTCTAAATCTTTTTCTGACAACATTGAGGTATGAAATAATTGCGTAACGCGAAAACACTGCAAGTTGTGTTTGCGGTGTTGAATTTCAGATAAAAACTACAATTTCAGTATCAGAAAATGATGAGACGGGAACACATTGGAGAATAATGTCGGAAAAAAGTTAGCCAACTTCTGGATACTTTCTTGAGCACTTGTATGTTACTAATGCGTTAGTTCTTTTAAATTGGTTGTACTCGCTTTTGATTTTTGTCACAAAATACCGATTCCAGTTTAAAATACTAGTAATGTGAGCTCGATACATGACGTCTCGCGAACATGGTATTTTAATAAATCTTGCAAACTTAAGTGTTAAGGTACGCTCGTCGCAGCGATCGATCGCCATGGTGTTGTCCTTCGATCGAAAAATCGTAGGGGATACGTAGAATTCATATGCATTATAAATGTCACCATTACGTCAGTTGCAGGTGTTGTGATGCACTGCTAACGATGCCCGGTAGTCGCGTGTCTATGTCGCGCATTGGACGCCTCCTATAGGTATTGCGTGATAACATTACAGCCACGACGAGACGCCGGACATGTTCTAGGGACACTGGTAATCACGTTGTCCTTATGAATTCCTGGTACTAGATTTTGATAATTGTCGCAAAATAACGTCTGAAATATTGAGTCGTTGCCTCATGAAATCCTGGTACAAATAATCCCAAAAACTTTGTGCAATGCGTCGTATAAAATTGGTCCGAATTTTTTCAAGTGCCTTGAGTAACGTTCATTTTGCTTTTAGATTAGGTCCGGTCCTGAACATTTACTATCGAAATACATAAATACTATCGTGTACTCGTTTTTTATTCCTTGTCTTTGCACTTCTTTACAGTTTTATTCTTGTCTCTACACTCATTCTCTGTTTTATTTTCCTTTTAATATTTCTATCTGTACCATGTTTTTATAATAATACTACACCATATATAGTATTAATATTACCATGATAGTTATTTTACATTATTAAAACATATACTATTATAAAACTGTTATTTTAATGGTTGTTTTTAAATGCTATCCGAGTATGAAAACAAAAAGATGTTTATGAGGTCGTAAATGAAATAATTATTTCTGTACGAATAAAGTATAAAACACTGAAATCATTAAATCCGCTGACACGCTTGTGTTTCGCAGTGTTTTATCAGCCCTGAAGGGTTTTGCATTATGAACTGCAGACATAATAACTTTTCATTACGTCTCACAACTACGTATGTTAATGTTGCCTAGTAATAATCGAATGTAATTATTTTTTCGCATATTAAATTCTCAGATATTCCAATAAATGATCCCATTAGACAAGCGTCATATTTGTTGCTTAATATCGGTTCGAGTCGAAAACGCAGCGTTTTTTGTATTTTATTGATCAAAATTCAAGTTAAAAAAAAAAGGATCTTTTTAGGAGTTTAAGTATCGTGTAACTCATTTGAAAAAGTTTGGTATCCTTTCGAGGGGCGCCCACGGACCTCGAGTTCGTAAAGTATTCTTTTCCATGTTATCTCAAGTGAAGTGTAATGAAAAACAACGTTTTACGTGTATATATATATATATATTTATACTTGCAAATAAACATTTTAAATTCAATAAATAAGATTGAACATTGATGGTGCAAATAAAAGGGACAAGTACTGTTTTTCCATAATCTGCGTTATCCGTTATTGGATCAATAGAATGTAAATTTTCAAAATGAATTTTGTTACTAACTAGGCCCTTTTTGGTTATAATTTATTAAATCTATTACGACGAGCAATATGTAGCTGAAGTAATAGCGAGTTAAAAAACCATTTCAATATTTGCGCTTGTCATTGATTAATCTCTCGCAATAGTAAACTCTGGAAAAAAACCATTACTATTATAACAACAGTAATATGATAAATTTCAATGGTTATCCAATCTCTCCAAACTGTTATTTGAGTAACGAAATCGATTTATTTAAAATTTAAATTCATCAATTATTTACTAAAAATTACTTTGTCTTTATACTATTACAACAAAAGTTCTGTTTTTAAATTTGTATTTGCTTTTTGTTCAGCAGCAGGTGGTCGATTCATCTTATTTTTCGTTTTATTCTTATTCCCTGGGAGATTACATTACAATGCTGGTTACAAGTTGAAATCCGTTGTCGATAAACATAAATAAAATTTGGTAGTTTTACGTTTGATTTTTCAACATTTGTTATAAAAAATAACTGATTTTAATTATACAAATTTTCCATATAGTACACTATTCGAGTAAAACAAATAGAGCTGTAATCACGGTATTCTGCCAATCGAGTACTTGTTTTTTTTATGTATTTCCATTATAAGGCTGTTGTCAAGGAAGTGCTATAACTTTTTAGAAGCGTTACTACTAAGTAAAAAATTGTACAAAATTTATTCTAGGCGCGTTTCCTGGCTATTTTTGGAAGAAAGATATCGTTGAAATCGTTTTGCAGACTTTTTGTGTTGGTCGAACGATTTTTTTGTATATCAATAGTTAGTTGGAGTTTCATAAATGCTTGTTATATTAATTTATAAAGTGGCGTTAAATCTAATTGCTGTAAACATAGTATTATTTAATGTTACGAATTCAAAGTCTGTTTTATGAGTTTTACGCCTTTATGAATAAATGCGAATCAGATTAAATTTACATTATTAAATTTGTTTGTTGATTTCCTTAAAAACGAATTACTTATAAATACAATGATCATTAACATTTCATTTAAAGTTTGATTGAAAATTAAATATTTTTTTTACAGAACAAAACTGTTGGAGTGGCATCTACAGCATGGCCGGGACCCGCAGGACCATCGCCAGACGCTGATTTGAGTGCGGCACCAGACCGTTCGATTTTAATTCATTTGCCAGGAGATCCACATAAAAAATGGAGAAAAAAAAACAAGGCAAGTATAAAATCAAACGAGAATTATGATTAGCATAGAAAATATATTGTGCACTTAAAAGTGCCAATGGAGTATTGCGTTAAAATCGATCACACGAGAGAAACTTAGTCATATTTTGCATTATTATTCTGATCGTGATAGCTAATAAATAACTCGCAAGTCAATTTTTCTTCTATTTATTGGAGGTATTTTAACTTGAGTAAAGTCCGACGTTCAATATTTCCCATAGGTTTTTTGGACGTCAACTAGTACGAGTAACCCAGTTTGATGTATTCTCACATCCGTATGGATTGAGAACTTGTATAAATTATGTGTGGTATTTTTTAATATCGCTCAAAATCAATATCGAAGGCGTTATCATATTATCGTTCATAACGAGACAATTGAAAGTTGACCTGTGGTTGTCGTAACGTTATTGTTCACTTAAGGAGCGAATACCGCTAAATTTACGTCCATAAAGGCTTATATTATGTACTCAAATGAAAATCGACGAGGTGTGCTCATTTTCAATGAATTTTTTATAACTGGGTCAGTACGATATTATGTCACATGGACAAAACGAATATTCTTTAATCAAATATTTAGCGTTTAAAACTATAAAGCATGTACTTACTTTGTGTGATTTAAAATTATATCGCATTTAATCATATACTTCACATAGCATTCGAATATTGATGAAGCCATAGCAATTTTTAGACATAAAGTACATCATTATTTAAAATAATTTCTGTGTTATTATAACAAGAAACTTTTAAATTTGAAATCGAACGAATCGCTCTTGTTAGTATCATTTTTTGTTTAGGCGAGGGAAGTCACGCAACGCAATATTATTTTTATCCGGACGTTTTAATCAAAAGAGAATAGAGCCGAATCAACTATAACTATTCTAAACATTTAAATGTATTATCTTAAAAAGTATTCTAATAAATATGATAGTCACTGACGCGACATTTTTGTCTAGATTATTATTCATCAAATAACATAACAATAACTAGTAGCTTCCATTTAATTTCAAACGTTTCTCAAGAAATGTTCCACCAAAATACATTTTTTTCTATTGATACTATTACAATGATTATTGTTACTAAAAACAAACGAAATTTTATTTAAAAGTATTGTTGGAAATTATTAACGACGATATAGGTGACAATATTTAGTTTCGAGTGTTATACAGAGTAAATAATTATCATTTATAGTAATGCATTTACATATTATAATACTAAATTTAGAAGGATTGAAATATTAATCGTTTGATTTTGCACAACTTACACGTCTAAGAGATAAAATCATATTTTTAAGTTAGGAGAAGAATAGTTAACTCAGAAAAACTATAAAACAACCTATGACCTATTGGATGAGTCTAACGTTCATTTTTTTTTTTTATTATCTGCGAGGTCATATCGCGTACAAAGTTTTAGTCAATACTGAGTATATGGATGTTAACCTTGAATTCGAGGTATGAAATTAAAATATTTTCAAAATATTTTGAAAATTTGAGTATAAAATGAAAACTCTTAGTATGCGCACAGTTATGAAGGAATTTATAGTTCAATTAATTTCAACGAATTTCAGAGGGAGCTTGGATTATTATTCTTTTAATTTAGAAATTTATTTTTCATACTAGAGCCATTGATCTTTTTATATTCATTATTTATGACATGAATTAATGTTTAATTCAAATTTAAAAGCCGTTGATTGCTTAACAAATTGCGTTTGTATTACCTTTGGAAATAATAAACATGTCATTTATTATTTTAACTGCAATTGTATTTTAAAATTATTAGTTCATTTATTTTACAAAAAGAGAGACTATGTAATTAATTATACTACAGTCAAGTTAAAAAAAAATGTACTCATAGTTATTTTCCTTAAATTGTCGTTAGTTTGAATCAGTTTAGATAATTAATAGTAATTTATTTATGAGTTGAAATAACACTTTTATCAATCTTTATTTACTGGTTGGCGTTTTAAAAATTACTTAGATTAAGGTTTAAGCTAAAGTTAACAGCAATTTTTTTTCTCCAATTTTCTTGACAAAATAGATGATTTGAAGTACAAACTTAGTTAAGAAAAGACAATATAAAAAATGAAATAAAAAACAAATATACATCCTTTAGTAACGATATGACTCGTAAGTAATATGTAAAGATATTTAGTTAATCAATATGATCGCAAGTAAAGTTAATTATTAAAGTTTATTTTTTTGAGTTATTTCATTATGAATGTAAATAGCGTGTTTTTAAAAACAAACACAATTATTTTCGACTTTAAACTTTATTTTTTGATGTAGTATAAACATAAATGACAGGTATAAAAGAAATTTCCTAATTATATTTATGCAATCGATTATTAGAGTAAATATTTTACCTAGAGGATGAAATGGGTGGTAAACATTTTTCAACTTTTAAGTACAGGTTTGTAAAAACTATGATAAGTCTCGGGTGTCTAAATACTTGTTACAAAATCGCATGCGAAAGCAAAAAAAAAAAAATGTATTTTAAAACTCTTTAATTTGTTATTTATGATTTTTCTTATGGAAAACAGTAAAAACTGATTTTTATAAACAAATCGACGATGCATTATTTTTGTGCTTCTTCTATCAATGTATTAATTGTATGTGTTTGTCCTGGCAGATTCATGATACATTGTCTTACGGGGAAAGTGCGGCTGACCGTCGACTGTTTGAACTGCAACAAGGGGCGGCAGCCAACACGTTACTCTATGTAGGCTTGTGTTCAGTGGCCTTAGGTCTTATCATAGCGTTCGTGGGCACTGGCGAGAAAGGTTTTAAGACTGTTCAACTTCGATTTATCGGTCCCGGCATGATATTCATAGGCATGTGCTGTTGTGCATTACGAATCATGTTGTGCTTTTGTCCTGCGTTTTGCTTCAAAAGGCGTCGACACAAGAGTATGTCCGATAAAATGGCCGAGTTCTACAAGTACATGCCTTTTAGAAATCATCCTATGGCTGCGCACAATACATCTGCTGTCGATAATCCGGCACCGGCCGAAGTTTTACCAATGGTTTTGTTGAAACCGGCCCTAAAACAGTCATGCGCGAGGGTCGATGAACAAACTCAGCCACAGTTGTATCAGGTTGGTAGAATTTTATTCAAAATTAGCTAAAAATCAATTTTTTTTAACGGTTGTCTATGTTACTCTATACTAAATAGGTAAAGCAGGTGCCCAAAGCCACTCCAGAAGCAAGCTTGGAGAGCAGCGTAGAAAACTTGATAGAACATGACGAATACTTGGACACAGAGGATCGGTCGAGTTCAAAAAATGACTTGAGCAGTATGAAAAACTCGGTTACATTTGAGAACCCTTTAAGTATGGTTTCAAAAATGATGACTAAATCGTCCGAAGAATTCTGCAATACGTCTTCCACGCCAGATGGTGATACTATCGACTACCAAGAATTGGTATTAAGTCCATTGAATTTAACTCAATAATTTTTTCTGCATCAAACTACTTATTTGGATGCATTCGGCAGTGAAAATTATGATAGTTGTAATCAGTGGTGAAGCGTCAGGGTCAACTTTGAGATGGCGATACCTCAATAACGACAAAAATTATTTATTTTATTAAAAAAGGAAAATTTTATCATTTATGTGTAAACGTAATGTTGTCTATATTTTCTCGAATATATACAGAGTGATTGATTTATCATTGACAACTAGATTAACCCTAAAATTATAATAATTATGAAAGTTATTAAGACTTAAAAAACAGACTAAGCACGAGGTGCGAGTTATGTTATTTTTATCATTATGTACTTTTTTACTACGCTACACCTCTCCTCGTGTATAGAAATATTCATAACTTTTAAATTACTGTTTTAAAAGTTATTATCGACCAGTTATTTTTCTAGTTAGATCATTTTCTATTGTATGAACTAGTTAAATGTGTATGTTGCTATTTAAAAAAATTAAGTCGGTATTCTCATAAGGAATAAGGGATGGACCTATAAAATGTTTAATTACTAATAAATCGAAGTATAAATAATACCAAATAAAGCCCAACATTTAAACTAGTGATCAATAATAAATCAATCGACCAGTATGTCTAATGCAATAATATGTGTGTGCACTATATATGTATAATCTTATACTTGAGGTGCAAAATTAGCTCTATTTTACGATAGAAATATAAATTTTAAATTAAATAAATGTTATCAAATGTAATATAATAGAAAGTATCAAAATTATTTGAGTGCACTTGAACGGTGGCATATTTAAGACTTCAGCGCACCGGTCCTGTTCACGGGCTGGTACAAGTCAACTCTTACACGGCTCGCTGCGCTGGGGTTGGAGATCACACTGATGGACTCCATGACTTATCTAGACTCGGTCATAGTATATTATTTAGCTTCATCAAACAATCATAGTGACAAACATTTAGCTACAATTATAACTCAAACACGTTGAGATAAATATCGAGTAAAAATTAATTAAACAAAATCTTCCTACCTGTAACTATTGACAACTCCATTATTCTCCTTTCAAATGAAATCAAAGTACTTGGGTTTAATTTTAGACAGAAGATTAACTTGAGCTTCTTACCTCTAGTGCTAACACGAGAAGCTTAACATTAGACTACATTTATTATGTCCACTCCTGCGCTCAGAAATCTCTCAACAGTATAAATACAACAAACTGGCAGGGCCTCGCTAAATATACATAAAAAAAAAATCATTATATAAACCATTAGGCATAAAACGCGCGACAACAAGACGGGACTAATTACATTAAGTCGCATTAATTACTTAGTTACACGAAGCAACAAAATTTGCGAAAATAATTTTTCGTACGTGTCCCTGACCTTATACAACTTATAAATTTTTTTTCAATAAATAGCATTAATTTGCTAAAAGTTTCAGAATTTGTAAACAAATAGTATAGATGTAATTGAAAACAATTGTGGCGGGGGTGGTTGGTAAGTATGCATGCGTCTTCAATCACCCGTTTAAAAAACAATTTCTTATTGAATTTTTTTTTTTTTAAGAGGAAAATAATTTCCACTTTTTCCACAGTAAAAATCTATTGTAAAAGTTAGTAATTGATAGTCGTTCAATACTCTTCGTGTATTGTTTCTGATATACTATGTGAATGCATGAAACGCGAGGAATAGGTCGGCTGTAAGACAAGCGTCCTGAATATCTGTTATCTGTTCCTGTCGCTCCATTGCCTACAGCTGAGCACTCTTAACGGACACGTTATTTCTTGTTGAGTGCTCTTGTTGAACGAACCCTCTGAGCTTGATGTTTTAAATAATGTTAGGCCTACTAGTTATTGCATTGCGGTGTAACTGCGAACGAAATGCTGTTATGGCGGTTAGTTTTTACGGATTTTTAAAGAAAGGAACCCTGTTTTGGTGATCTTGTATTCTTATGATATATGACATACACATACAAGTGATACAAATTCTTATATTATTAACATATTTTATGTTTATAACATAAGTGATAACGTAATATTACATGACATTGAGAAATCATGTGCAATTACCAAGACTGATAGTTTTCAATAATCACTTGAATTATTTTCCATTATCGACTCTCATGGTGTTAGGTTCAGTTTTATAATTATTATATTGTAATTGGCGAAATCGAGGAGAATTTAAGACAAATGCGTTTCAGTCGGATCATGTCATAATTATAATTATAATATTTGTGTTATAATTATAAAAACATTTAAAATTTTAGTGAAAATAGTGCTAGTCAGCTAGTCGGTAATTTTATAGATTATTGTTCGTCCAATAATATAGAAATAATTACAAGACTTCGTTTATCATTAAAAAAAATTGTTTATATTAAAAAAACAAAATGACATTAGTTAGCCTCTAAAAAAATATAAATCTATTTTTGGTTTAATGCATTTTTTTTCATAATTTTTATTAAACATTAGTAAATAATTTAAAATGTATAACATTTTTAACTCATACAGTTTGATATAACTTAATTAAGTTATGTTATGAATTAGGTTAAAATAACTTGATTATGTATATATATATCGATGGTTTAATGCAAAATAGAGTTAAATACATTTTTGTTTTTTCAGGAGAGCAGTTTAAATTTTTTTTTATGTATTATTAATTTTTTAATGGGATTTAATGACTAAAATATACAGTTTTTACTTTTCGAACTTTACACTGTACATTTTAATTGAATGTTAGTACAATTACACAATTAAATTATTTTCGTCAAAAATGTACTTCACTCTTTTTTGTACTCGGCTATCAAAATAAAATATTTTTTCATATTCATAGAAAAACAAAAATAACAACAACAGTAAAAATAATGACAGGTTGGGTTTAAACAAAAACAGCGTTCATGATAAAAACAAAACAAAGACAAAAATAAAACGTTAGCACCAGGGAGGTCTCATTACAGTGTGGACGTGGCATAGTTGGGACAAGTATAGATGACATCTGACAGCGATTAAAATCACTATCATAAGAAACACTTCGATGCAAATCTGTAGACAGTGTTTCATTTTAAGAAATTGGTGGATTATTCCAAAAGCAAAATTAACTCCTATTTTTGTTCTATTTCGACTGCCATTTATATTTGCACATAGAAAATAGGTCGTCGGTACAAATCTTTTTTTTCAATTTATAGTACGTAACATAAGCTTTAATTTGACATATATTTAAAGGATTGCAGTATTTTCAAAAGTGAAGTTGAAAAAGTTGAGTTTTGTAAAAAAAAAATTGCTATTTTGAATACCCTTATGTAGGGAGGTAAAGGGTCAGATTTTCAAAAATGTTAAATAAAATAAAAGGGAATTACATAAGGTTTTAATAATATTAAAATTACTATATATTATATAGTAATTAAATACAAAAAAACAATTTGTTTTAAAATCATTATTTTGATTTTTAATATTTTTAAAAATAATTTCTACAAAATGTCATTTTTAACCTATTTTTTAGTCCTTTAAAGTTGATTTTGTGAAAGTTTATAGCAAAAAAGTTGAATTTATTACCATAACTTTTAGCTCAACTTTCAAGTTTGAAATTGACATCATTAAGTAGAAAATTTTATAAAAATTTAAAAAATGTTATTGTTAAGTATAATATGCAGTCAGGAAATTTTATAATTACAATTTACAGTAAATTTATCAGAAAAACTCAATATTTGTTTGCATTTTTATAGTAATAGATCACATAAATAGAAATAATTATAATCATTTCTAAATAACATTTGGTGTTTAAAAGGATTCTACATTTGAAATATTCAGAATTTAATTAATTTTATTGATTCACTTAAAAATAATATAATAAAATATTATATATTTATAATATACAAATAATTATAATATAAATAAGAAATTTCTACTCACGAGGGGAGACTACAGTGATGGGGTCCTTGTTATTCATTGAAGTTATTGGATCTAAATGGGATAAAAATCAAACGAGTTGAAATTTTTTTTTAACTCAAAAAGAATTAAGAATAATATGCAAAAAATTCATTCATTTTCCGTGATTTCTAACTAATAGTAATAAAAATTTATATTTTGTAATCAAATATTGTATAGATATATTCGAGTTGGTTTTTTTTAAACTAAACAATGTTTAATAGTTAAAAAATTAATTATGGAGTCGTGAAAGGATTACTTTCCACTATAACAAAAAAATGTCCTGTGTTACTATATATTTTTATGATGATTTTCACGAAATTGGGTGTTATGGCAGTAGAAAAATTTTTCATTTGAAGTCTAGAGTTTCTGTTAATCATTTAAAATAATTATAAAGTTGACGAAACTGAATTGTTTTTTTAAAATTTGAACCCTAATAAAAATAATTTTTTATGTGGTATACTTGAGTTAAAATTTGTTCTAAATTAAAAAGACAAAGCTTAAATTAAATTAATTAATTTCTATCAAACATAACTAGTAAAATAAATCTGGATAAATATAATGAAATCATATACTTATTACTCCACCATTAATTGAAATATTTGACTTTATTTTTAGTTTTAAATACAAGAAATAATATTTTAATAGATTTTATGTGTTTTTAAATAACAAATATCTAAAATTTTAATTTAATTTTTGATTTATTTGAAAAATGTGAAAAATAAGCGTGTTACAATGGGCTGAGTGTTATAAGTACCATAATGCTTTAGGTTCTCTTAATATAGATGATATGATTTTTGGCTACATTTTTTTAATTTTAGACTACTATGCAATATTTTATAAATATACAGTACAGTATAATTATTTGGGCCATCCTAATTTTTTTCTAATGTTTCTACTTGAAATCTTCATTAATGGTGATTTTTGTAGATGAATCGTAAATGATAGATTTACAAATCAATTTTTTTACTTGATGCAGATTACTTAAGTCCTTTATATTAAAGGTAATTTTTCCAGTAAATCATACTTCATATACTCATTTTTTTTTTATATAAATAAATATAACATAAATTTTTTCAACTTGGAGAATAGTTAATATCCAATTATTTTTACTTCAATAATGAAAACAAAAAATATTTATTTCTCAAGCAGTAAATATTATAGGGAGTGAAAAAATATAATTTCGCTAATTGCAGTAGAATTTAGTTTATATGAATATATAAATATAGGAGTTCTTTAGTTACTTAGTACCCTTCGTCAATAGTATCCTCAAAAAATTGAAAATTATAATTATAATCTAAAAAAGTTCCTCGTCTTTATTTATATTTACTATACTCAAATTTTTTGTCTTAATTTATGCTTGTGTATACACCACAATTAACTGTATGTAAAACTCAAGTTTTGTTCAAAAAATAAAAAAAGATAACACCTAGTAATCTCTAATGCGCTTTAAAATATAATTTATCTTGTAAAAACTTAGAATTGTGACCTCAAATTCTTCAATGTGTGCACAAGAAATGATTGTATTCATCATGAGCAAAATATCTGAACAAAATAAATCAAACAAAAAATTACTGATTCCTTGTTACACACTAGCTATTGTTTTAAAGACTAGATCGTAAATGGTAATAAACCTATACAATTTTTTAATTCAAAATAAATAAATTTAAAACAGTAAGATTTGATATTTATAAATTACTTTTATTGAGAAATTTCATTATGTTCTTTATTTCATTAAAAATACAAATAAATTAAAACTTAACTATTGAAAATTAATATCAATACAGTCATAAGTAAGTTACATTAAACTATTGTTTAACACTGCAAATTAACATGTTTCATTTATTACCATAATTATTTTGAAAAATAAATTAATTTTTAATATATATAAAATACTTAGAGAAATTATGTAAATCAAATAATCATTTTCAATTAACTATGATTATATAACAAAAAAACAAAAAAAAAAATTCACTATTACAAATCCTTAATATTAAAAAAAATGTTATGTTAATCTAAGATGAGAAAGGCAACAAAATTCTTAAAACGAATATAAAAAAATTTAAGTTATCATGGTTGTGATTTTGTCATATTGTATACATTTTTAACAGATAACTTGTAAACGACAAAAATTTACACACATAATATTATACACTATGTACATATTATATACAAAAAAAAGTTTTTAAAAATATATTCTGATAGATCAAGAAGTGATAGTTAAAAAATTTAAATAAGAACCTAATTTTACAATTAATAATAACTCAGAACAAAATATAATTATTAGAATTACCAGTCATTAGACAAAATACTTAAGTATTCATTTCATATAGTAAACAAAGCCTCTAGTGAAATTTAAATTATTTGGAATCATATATCAATAATAAAAAACTAATATTTTTTGGGTTTTATATACATTTTTTATGTAATATGTAACAATTTGGAATAATAATTAATGGAATTTAACTTATATACATATTACTAATTTATAAGATTATAGGAATAATAATACACAATAATGTAAAAAGTCAATTAACCACATCATTGACTAGCACTCATATTTCATAAATAAATAATTTAATTTATATACCATTAACTAGGGTTATCATTCTTGTATGACATCAAATAATAGTAATCAATTAAAATATAATAATATAGCAAACAAACGCTTATATTTTTTAAATACACATTTAATGGATTTATATGTTAAATTTTTGTAAATGTCATTAAATTAAGAAAGAAAATGTATTTTAAAAACTTGTATTTAAAAAATAAAAGAAATAATTTTAATTATACACAACAAATATAAAAATTGTAATAATAATTTTAATAATGTATGATTTTGCTTTAAATTTATTTTTAAAAAATGGTTTTTTATATCATAAAAAGTAGTAAAAGTGAAATTAATTGAATTTTTATAAGGTGCAGTAGTAATTCACCCATTCATTTTCCATAACAAATGCTTCTACTGCTTCTTTTAATGCTAAATTAGGTATAAGTTGATCAACAGTTAAATTTTGACGAGAGACTGGATCAAAATGTCCAACTTTCTACAAAAACAAAATTTTTATTAAAAATTAAACAACTTAATATTGTTTATTGATTTGTTTTAATAATACATACCATTAAATGTTCTTCTAGATCTTTACGGTCATATGTAATACCACTAGGTGTAATAACAGGATCTCTTAAAATATCATAGCTTATATTTCCACATAGATAATCTGGTACTTCACGTTTCTGTTTAACAAAAAGTTATTTTATAAAAAAGAATTTTTAAATAAAGGCCAATAGCTTTAGTTTAATTTATTTAGAACGAAGAAGGCATTAAACGCCTAACATGTATAAGTTACAAAAATAAAATTACTTAGAAAATGTTGACAAACAATATTATTTAAATTATTTTTTTAAAGTAATAAAAATGAAAATTATAATATAATTTTTTTACATTATATCACAAATATAATAATGAATACCTTTCGTCTATCATCATTTTTGGCAAAAATTGTGTGGAGCTCAGCAGAATATTTTTCCTGAGAACAAAATAATATAAATATTTGGCAATTTTAAACACAACATTTCTTAGGAATCTCACTAATGTAAAACATCAGTTTGTTTTTAAACCAAACATTACAATTTTCAATTATTTTTAACAAGTATAGTTATATTACAATAACTATTTTTATAATAAAAGTCTAATATACATTCAACATTTGGTAATAATTGTGAAACTCATTGTTAGTTAAGGAATCAATTTTGCCTGTATTACTATCTTTATATTAACAATTTATATTGTTAATTTTTTTTATCATTTATTATTATCAAATTGTCATATTAATTAAATCTGACAAAATTTATAAGTATACAAATTTTTCTGATTAATCCAGATAATATATACTTTTATATCAAAAATACTGATGCTAGATTTTGTGGGGTCCTAGTCCAAGGAGGCGCTTAAAGTGGGATCATTTCTTTTAATAAAAATGATTACATATTAAAGATATACTTATTTTTTTGTTTAAAGGAGGTAATAAAAATTTCTCTTATATATACTTGTATCCTAAAAATTATGTTACTTTCTTGTGTGAGACCTTATTAAACATGAAATTGAGGCACACATTTTCTTACTTCGACCTTGTGCAGCACTGAATATTAAATAAATAAAAAATTCAATAAAATAGATAAAAATCTTAAGTTATTACAAAAATCATAAGTAGCCTTATTATTTGTTGGATAGCAACAAAATTAAGTATATATGTCATCAGCAAATAGTCATTCATTTTTTAGCAAAAAAATCTATGTTCTAGATTTAAAAATTTACTTAATTTACAATAAAAAATGAATTTACTTTTTGATTTTTTAATTCCATAACACAACTTTCATACTCTTCAATTTCATGTTCATTATCTGATGGCTTTGGTAATATACTTATTTTACGAGATAAATCATCATCCATTAATTTTGTTAAATAAGACTAAAAATTAAACAATTGTATAATGAATTTTTAGAATTTTCAAAGTAACATCAAAATAAAAAATTACCAAAAGCTCAATTTCTTGGTTTTGTCTAACTTCTTCTTGTTTCTCCCATTTAAGTCTACGGGCTCGTCTTAATTGACTAGTAATATCATCGCCATAATTAATTTTTTTTTCTTTTGTTAAGTTATGAGCTGATATATATTAAAAACAAGAGTTAGTTTAATTCTATGATATAGTTATTAATATATAATTTGTTATACTTGTACCTCTTTGTAATTGTTTAATAGCTTCATCAAAACTTCCTAATTCAATAAGAGCTATGCCTAGGAAAAAACACCCTTTGATAAAGTTAAAGTCCATTTCTAAAGCACGCCGGCAGTCAGTACATGCTTTGTCCCATTGTTTGAGTTTCAAGTAACATAAAGCACGGTTTGTGAAATATATAGGCACAACTGGATTTTTTATCTAAGTAATAAAATAAAATAAAGAAACTATCCTAAAAAAGTTTGTAAAGTGCTAATGCAACTAGTTAATAATTTGATACTGTCTAGTAATAATTCAGTATTAATTATAAGTTATATTTATCTAATGAACTTAAGTTCACTTATTATTAACTTAATATACTATTAATTTTACTTTAACGTTACTTACTATAGCTTTATTGTAGCACTCTATAGCTTTCTCATATTGTTTATAACTGAATAAGCGATTGCCTTCTTCTTTTAATTCTTTATCTGTAGGATTATTTACTGTGTGTTTATTGGAAGTTTTAAAATTGAACATTTTTTTAGTTGCCCAACTCTACAACTACAAAAAACAATTGTATTATACCTAAATAAAAAAAAAATAACTAAGATTATATTTTTAACTTTTATTACAATGAATATTTAGTTCTGAATGCGTGTATGTTGTATATTTAAGTTATTCTTAATATTATTTACTAACTATTACTTTAATAACTCTACGCTGTATAATAAAAATTATACACAGTGTAGAGATAATACAAAAACATTATATTATACTCAGAAATACTTACTTTAGAAATATAGTTGATGAGCTACTATAGATGTCACAAAGATTTTAAGATTTCAATTATAATTATATAACTGTCTCAAAACATTGTCTATTGTTATTATCAATTAGTATATTTGTATATAATAAGATAACTCGTCATAATAGTAATATTCATGGTTTAGATAATATCTTTACCTCTTTAAAATAGTTCATGTGTTTTATAGTTATCAATAAAAAGTTGTACAACGCTACTTCCACTTTAATTTTTTGATTCCAACACCAAGTATGGCGATATTATAATTGAAATTTACGTTATTACCTTTAAGCAATGTGATAACAGTTATGAAAAACTATGTTAGTTAATGGTGATTTTGATTTTTTTCAAAACTACTCGACTTAAATATGATATGTTAATGTTTAAATGACACTACTATTGATTTTTATTTGAGAGGAAATGAGAAATCAAATTTAGTTCCTTCCTAAGATAGTAAGGAATGTAATCCAAATTAGCCGGTTTTTTGTGATCTTGATAATATCTTATCTATTAATTAGTTTTTAAAAAATAATTCAATGTAATTTGTAGTATATTTTTTATTTATGTACACCAATTAAATACATTTAGGTTATCAATTTTTTATTAGAAGAAACAATATTTGTAGGTTGAGTTTATTTTAAAATAATTTAAGATTCAAGTATTGAGATACTATCATTTCTATTGAGTTAAATCAAGTAAATGCCTTAACATAATATGTAATTTTCTTTATAATTTATCTTTTTAATTGTTAAGTAACAGTTATTATGGCACCAAAATCGAAAGGTGCTAAAAAAGAGATAGCAAAACATAAATCTTGCTATATTAAGTATGTTTTATAATTTGTCTAAAAAATTTTAACTGTAATAGATTTATGTTTTTCAGGTCAAATGAAAAAACAATTTCGTCTGGAAACTGGCTAATGACATTTGATGCTCCATTCAAAATTATTTTATCTGCTAGAATATTTGCTGCGTTTTTAATTCATATAACTGATTGCGATGAAACTTTTAACTATTGGGAACCTGTAATTATAGCATAAATATTTTCATTTGATATTGTTTTTTAAATATAATAGAGGTATATCTAAAGCAAAATCAAAATTATTTTTAAGGCTTTTAATTTTATATTTTATTAATTTTTAAGGAAAATAATTTTAAAATTAAATGTAAATGTATTACTTCAATATGTCATATTTAGAGAAAGTGTATGAAGTGGTGTAAAGGTATTTTTGGTTACATATAAATTATTTATACATTTAGCAAAAACAATCTTATTATTTGATCAAAAAGATAATAAAGCCTTCTTGAAATTTTTACTGGTTATATTTATAAAATTTATGTAGATTATAGTTTATTTGATATAACAATTTAAAATTTTGATAAATATACTTTTTTAGATTTCACAGTAGTTTTAATAAATTAATTAATTATAAAAAAAATGATTTCTTTATTTTAGACTCATTATTTCATATTCAATAGTGGATTTCAAACATGGGAATATGCACCAACATATGCATTAAGATCTTATTTATACATTCTCATTCATGTGGTACCTGCATATATTTACCAATTATTTTTTAGTGTCAGAAAAATTATGTTGTTTTACATGATTCGTTGTATGCTAGGTTTATTTTGTTCTGCATGTGAAATATACTTTTACAGGTAATATTAGAAAAATGAATTTGATCTTGTTATTAAATTATAGAAAGTTTAAAATTAAATATTTATCTTTTTTTTTTCAGAGTTATACATAAAAAATTTGGTTCAACTATTGCTAAATATTATTTAGCCATTTCAGTATTTAGTCCTGGAATGTTTATTGCATCTGCTGCTTATTTGCCATCAAGCTTTTCCATGTATAATTCTTTAAAAAAAATTGCAAATTAATAATTTTAGTATAATATATTTTATTGAATTTAGGTATATGACTTTTTTATCAATAGGTTCTTGGTATAATGGAAATCTAGAATTGGCTATTTTTACAACTGCCATTTCAACACTTTTGAGTTGGCCATTTTCAGGTCTCATTGGGTAATATTTCAATAGCTTATATAATATAATTATACTATTATACTCTAGGGCAAATAGAGTATAGACTATGTAGGTTTAAGTCTATGTATTATTGGCACTTAATATAAGTAACACTTTTAAATTTAAATTTAAAGTAGAGAAAGAGAATAATATATACATATATAATTTTATTAAATTTGCTTAGAATGTTCCTTACTATTAATAGTTAGAGTAAATAGTTTGAGAGGAGATAATAATATCTCTGACCCTCAATTTCTGTCTATAATAAAATTTAAAGTTCAACCCAAAATTTAGAAAATTGTTTCACAGAATACAATTTTTATATTTCATGATTTTTTATTTTAATAAAATGATTTCAGATTTCCACTTGCTTGTGATGTTATTTTTCGACAAAAAAAAAAGAACTTATTTATTAAATGGTGCTTTATATCATTATTAACAATATTGGTAAGAATTAAAGTGCTAAATAATTTTATAACAAAAACATTTTAATATTTATTATTTGTAGGGTTATCAAATTTTTGTTGATTCTTATATTTATGGAAAATTTGTTATAGCTCCGTTGAATATTGTATTTTATAATATATTTACCAATCATGGACCAGATTTGTATGGTACTGAGCATTGGAGTTTTTATATATATAATGGTATTTTAAACTTTAATGTTGCATTCATACTAACAGTAATTGCACCATTTGGAATATTTTTTAACAAGGTAAATATATTATTATTATTATTCTATTTACCCTAATACCCTATCTGAAAAGCTATGCTTGTATTAGAAAAGACGGGAAAACCTACGTAGCTTAGTGCAGTCAAACCTTGGAACTTATGCACCAAGCTAGGGTTTGTTCTCAACTAAGCTAAGTAGATTGGCCATAATGAATTAAGTATCTGATTTAATTTAAACGTATTACTAGGACTGTGAATTATATGCATTTATAAATTTTGTTTGAGTCACTTTGAAGGGTCTCAAATTTTTATAATTCGGTCGAAGTATTATATAGTCACACTGAAATAGTTTACGTTTAGGAGAAATTAACCCTCAACCCCTAAAAACTATAATATCAGAAAAAACACATTACTAAGTTTTCAAGTCAATTAATAAAAAATTTTACTGGCTGATAGTGTATTCGGATTAACTAAATTCAAATAATCCAAAGTCTTACATATTATTAATGTTTATACTATTCATTATAATTTAAAATTGACAGTTTTTGAGATAATCTTTAAAATTTCATTAAAATATTATTTATATATTCTTCTTATAATAAATAAAAATTCCTTAATTATACATTAAAATTTTAATTTACTGGGTTACCAATTAATTAAAATTGTTATTTGAGTAAGATATTTGCACAACTATATTTGTTAGTATTTATTGTATGGTTTGCAATATTGTAAATATGATTCAAGTAAATACAATTTTGTTACAAAGTGTTGTAAAAAGATTAATATTTTTAATTATTTTTTTAAAATTTAAATAGATAATATCTATGATTGTATTTCAAGATTCTAAGCAATATACAAATATTGGATTGAATTTGTGGGTGTTATATTTATCTCCTTTTGGTTACATATAANTAATTATTTTTTTAAAATTTAAATAGATAATATCTATGATTGTATTTCAAGATTCTAAGCAATATACAAATATTGGATTGAATTTGTGGGTGTTATATTTATCTCCTTTTTATTTATGGCTCACTGTATTTATTGCTCAACCTCATAAGGTAAATAGTTTTAATATATTTAATATAAATTATACTTTTTATAATTTTTCAAAAAATGATTTATGAATATTTTATATTATGTACATTTTTTTTAGGAAGAAAGATTTCTATTTCCAATTTATCCTTTGTTATCTCTTACATCTGCTGTGGCACTAAAGTATTATATACCTGATACACTTAATATTGTTCAAGTTATTTCATCAAAGTTAAATATGTTCACATTGTCAAAATTATTCAAACACTTTAAAGATGTGGCTTATATTCCATTTTTTGTATTATTTGTATTGTTAGGATTATCTCGATGTTTACTCTTGATAAAAGGTAATAATAATTCTTATTTTTTTACTACAGCTGTAATTTTATGTTTTAAAATTAGCTCTTTGAAAACATAATAACATTATATTTAAATATATTAAAAAATTATAGAATTTAAGTTTTGTATTGTCACAAAATGCATAAGTATTCAATAGGCTTAATATTTATTGTTTCAATCTGTAACTTATGGGGATGTAATGTCTTCTCATTATTCTCTGGTTTTTCTAAAAAATCGTATACATTTTATTTACTTTAATATTTTTTTTATTATTTACATCTTACTTTTATTAATTTTAGGCTATCATGGTCCCCTTGATATTTATGCCGAGCTAAGCAATGAAAATTTAACATTGCCAAAATTAGATATTATTAATGTCTGCGCTGGAAAAGAATGGCATAGATTTCCAACATCTTTTTTTTTACCTGACCAGAGGTGATTATATTTTTTTTGTCTATAGATTATAAGACATGAGTAAATATTAGAGTTATTTAATCTTAAGTAAAGTAAAAGAAAATTAAATTTGTATAGTTTTAGAATATGTCAAATTATTTTATTAAACCTATTGTTTATATTATTTATTTAAATCAAACATTTAATGGGTCAAATGACCTTACTTCGTGATATACTAAGAGAACATTTAGTGAAAAATATTGAAAATCAATAAGATTGGTGTTAAATGGTACTTGTATTGTTTGTGAGTTCTTACATAAGACCTATAGTAAAAACTTTCTTAGTAATATATCAAACCTAAAAAAAATATTTACTAGATATCAATTATTTAATATAACATTGTTGGTACTTAAATATATAATTCTTTTTGGGGAAAGTAGCATTTTTAATCATACAGTACTATTTATCTGTTTATTACTAATTTGATTATGATATGTATATTTCAGATGGAAGATGCATTTTATAAAATCAGAGTTTCGAGGACTATTGCCCGGTAAATTTCAAAATGATTCTTTATCTAAAGTTGTTGAAAAATTTAATGATCAAAATAAAGAAGAACTTGATAAATATGTATGTGATCCTATTATTATAATTTTTTAGTTAAAATTTTAAAATATACTTATTTAGTAAGTTTTATATTTCAGAGTGATATAAATTTATGCCACTTTTTAGTGGACTTAAATAATAACCTAAGTTCAGAGTTTGAACCTAATTATTCTGAATTAAAAACCGAATGGTCTATTGTGAAATCAGTTTTTTTTCTAAACAATCAAAAGTAAGCTAAATAATTTTACAAGTAGTGATTTTAATTTCATAATATAATATTATTTATTTAAATAAAATATATATATGAATTGATTGAAAAGTTGAAAGGACAAAGATGTTAGATGAAAAAACTGTTATAATTAGCCTAATATTTTCAATTGTGCATTATATTTGCTATAATTATAATTATATAGGTGTCGATAAAGTATACAACTTTTGAATCAGCCATTATTTGGTTGCCATGTTTTAATTAAATTTTCTCTATCTACTATCATTTTTGTTAGTATACATACCATGGGCTTGGCTATAAAAATTGTCTGTGGAAGCTATAGACCTATAATATAGGAAACAGAATGTTATTCTACTTCATAAATAAAAAACCTAATGGGAAGCGTCCCTGTTAAATAAATTGCTTTATATCCACCTCTCTCACCAAAAAAAAATTCAATAATTTGAAGCGACTACATATATTCCTGTGGAGCTGAAGTCCTCACAGCTCCCATACAAACTACGATAATGATAAATATTTAATTTGTTATCTTAGAACGATTTACAAAACACAGTAATATTTAAACAAAATGGCGCAACATGTCTCATTTTGCATGAAAAGCTTGCCTTTTTTCAAGAAAAATTTTTAAGGCAGTTGTTCAAAAATGGCCTGTCAAATCTTGTGATCTTTTTTTTTGTGGGGCTTTCTATAGACATAAAAACAAAATCAATTGAAGAATTGAAGTTAGAAATTATAGTTGAAATTTATTCTTTATTTAAAAATTGTACATTTAATGGAACATTCTGTATAAATTATACTAATTTAATGCTAATTAATTAATAATATCTGTTTCTTTAAACAGTGTTATTAAACATTTTTATTCTCTCAACCTTACAATCATCAATAGAATTCTTAGAGATAAATTTTAGTGGTGTACAATAAATTTTGCCAAATATTGATGTTAAATTTTCTGCTTAGAAAATTAAAATATTAGTATAATTAGGGCTTTAGGACTTTATGTATTTGTAAAGTTCATTTTATAATCTCTAGTTTTCAATATTATTCAATTTTGTTTTTCGTAATTTTAATCAGATTATATTAATTAGGATTTTAGTTTTGGAGTGAGCATGGGGGGTTCATCTTCTTCAGAACAAAAAGAGTTCCTATGTTTCTGTATATACTTATGATTAATTCTCCTGGAGTTTGATATCTTGGAAGTGATCCAAACAAATTTTACATATGCATGAAGTTTAGAACCCTAATTACAACCTATATATATATATCTTATAAAATTGGTGACCATTAATGGCTTTAATTAAAACTTTAATAAAACTAAGGGGGTTTTAACTCCTTTCATACCTTACATCCTTCCTTCAAGAAATCACTGCATTAATGTAGAATTAAAAAAAATTGTACTTTTAATGGTTATTATAATTAAACTAGTATAAAAAAAAATGAATATTTATTTATATTTTATAAACATTTCAGGACTAAATTATTGTTTAGAACTCTATACATTCCATTTATTTGGGAAGATAATGTGTATTTTTCTTCTTATAATTTACTGATCAGAAATCAAATTGAAGAAATGGGTAACATAAACATCAGAAATGCTTCATAAATATATTATTCCATATTATATTATATGTTAGTGAATATATTAAATATGTGTAAAGTATAAACTTATATTTTTTATTAAATCATTTGTGAATAATTTCTTTTATTAATTAATCAACACTTTTGAAAAATAGCGCTAATCTGTAAAATTCTGATTATTGTAAGACATGAAAAATGAGATAAGGACGATTAACACATTTATAAAAAATAATTAATTTAGGATTATAACGAGATTTAATAAAATAAAGTATAACAAAAAAATGAAAAACGCAGAGGAGCATTGCATGATACTTTTATTTTCACTAACCTTGAAGCGTTTACGTACACGGTAACTCTCTAATGTGTTGTGCACGAAAAAAAATCTGACATGACATTGCATTTATGTAATTACGGACTCAATGACATTTGTTGATAGTCAAATTAAAACGTAGAATGTTTGGAGTCCAAAATTTTTGTTATGTTTTGAGTACCTTGGAGCTTTTGCGGTACTCGAAAGCAACCGTTCTTAAAAATAATCATAGGTCTTAATAATTAGCATGATTTGGGAAAAGTAGATGGTGCTCTGCACAAGTTCTTCTAGTTAAGGGCTGAAATATTTTGTACGAGGAAACATAAATTTAGCGAATTTCAAAAACGGTCAAGGAAATGTTGCACATTTACTTAATATATTTACGGAAACATCATTAAAATAGTAATGATGACTTTGAAAAATAGTCTGTTGTAATCAAGATTTATACTAATTATAGCCGTTAATACCGTTTTATAACCTACTGTGGATTGCTGATACTTATAAAAAGTACACATGTCATTTGTTTTCTATTGTTTTTCACCTCAAAATATTATTTTTTTTAATGTTATTGTATTATTTAAGTTAAAAACAATTGTATTCTAAGTATTACCTAAAATAAAATTACATTCATATATTTCCTCATATTTAAGTTCTATTTAATCGATCGGGTGGCATTGGCGTATTATTTAATATTATCTATGCTCACCCGTCGCTATTTTATTTTGTGGTAAGAAACGATCATGTGTTCGTATTTTGAAGAAAGTTTTAGTTGTAGTATTTACATGCAAGAACGGTTTTTTTTTTATATAAAATATGAGTTTAGATGATTGATCAAATTTCTTAGTAAGGCAGTGTTTCGCAATATCTATATTAAATAAAACTGCATTAAAGTTTTGTTTATTTTTTTAAGTTAGGGTAAGACTTATTAGTAAGTGATTATAAATTAAAAAAATGTGGGATTTAATGAATGGATATGCATACTTTACATTAAGATTCTATGTTTTTGGGATCTTAAAAAAAATAATAGATAAAGTAAGAGCATCTAAGTATTCAAAATTTAAGTCCGACACTAATTTGTATGATAAATGGTAATGGTATTAGTTAACATCTAGAAACAAAGTTCAGAAGAACATTTTCAAAAATAAGTTTTGATAAAAATGCAGTTTAATTTTAATAATGATTTCTATAATCATTTGTTTTCGTAATTACTACTCCACTATTTTTTGTTTGGCTCGTATTTATCCAATTCAAATAAAATTAGATGAGAGTTTTTCAATTAAAAAACGTGTCGTATACGATTAAAAATTTAAATAAAGTTAAATTAGATTATTATTTTTTATTTCTACGTGTAGTACTTTAAGTTTTCCAGATTGCATTTATGGTTACAAAACAATATTTTTGTGTACTGCGTTATTTGACCATATGAGATAAGTTTTTGTGATTTATATACAACTGTATGTATATATTTATATCACTATAACTTAACTATTAAACTATGTAGATACACGAATTATATAATTCGTGATTCTAATGAGCTGATGATAAAAGACTTATAGTTAATAAAATTAAGTATGATGAGATTTTATTGTTTGATAGATGTAGTATTACCTTTTCTACATCGTGCGGTTATTTCTTATTTGAGTGTTAGATATTAATTTTATTTCTATAGTTATTATGAATCACGTTTATACAAGTAAAAGTATAAATATCAAGAGTCGGTTAAAATAACAAAAAACCCCAAGTAATTATAATTTGTGTTGGCAAAAACTTTCCTAGTTTTCAATGCGGTTAGTCATCGCACGCGACTGCTCAGATAATTTTTGTTAAACATTAATGATGTAATCTGCTTACGAGATCAATGTAGTTCATAAGAATTCGATGTCTTTCAATTATTGTTTAAAGATTTTGCTTTTAATAACATCTATTTTGATTGAGTACAATGATCAATACTCAACTTTATTCATAATGGTTACCTAATTCACTTCTTTCTTATTATTACTCAGAAATTAAATTGTATATAGGTTATTACGAAATAAATTGTTACTTGTTTTACAACTTATAATCTATTAGATTTTTTTTTGTTGCATTTACAAAACTTGATTATTAAAATACGCTTTTTGTTTATTGGTTTGTTATTATTTATTTGAAGTTTTTACTTAATGTATTAGATTACTGAAAAATGAACTGATTATATTTCATATCTAATAAAATAATTACTTTTGAAACTTTTGATAATATTTTTGAAAATAAACGAGAAAAAACAATTGAAAATAGATGTTTTTAACAATAAAAATATGATTACAATTAAGCGTAAATAGATTTAATTCATTTATTAATAACAATAAACCATCAATAAAAGGGACTATACATTATTTATTTAGCTTTTCTAACTATCTCTTTACTACGTATGAAAAAGAATGTCATCTTTCACTCACACATTTATTGATGACCTTTTCATTTTTTATCATTTTATAATTTGGAGCAGTTGAAATTAAAAAAAAATCAGGGAAAGATTATTTGTAATAGAATTTTGTGTAATTATATAAAATTTTAGGAAGGAGAGATATCAGATTCTTCTGAAATTATTATTCGGAAATTGTGAAAAACTATAGAAAATTTGGAAAAATTTTTCGAGTTTTAATTATTACTTCCTACTACCGAAATTATTACTTTAAGAATACCGTTACTAGTAATATTACCAGTATTTATTATTATAAATACCACTAATTATACACACAACTAATGAAAAAATTAAGTTTTCTACAGTTTTATTTACGACATCCTCCCTTAATCAACCAACCCTCAAATCGTTGTGCTTTGAAACTGCACCACAGGTTGTCTCTTACGAAGATACACCACTGCACTAATAATAATTTTAGTGTAGGATCTAAATTACAGTCGACCTTTTAAATGACCTTTTATTTGTTTACGATATATTTTTCTTAAACGCTTAAGGCAAACTAAACTTTCTCTTGTCAGGTCTCACCTGTGGATAAAATATCAAAATAATGTTTGAATAAAAAATATTTTATATTATTAGAATACTTTGGCTACTATAATATGTACAGGTTAATTTTATATTTATAATTCATTTTTAATTTTATTTTATAGTATTTGACAATTAAAATCAAATACAATGAAAGTTATCAACCAGTGGCGGCTTGTGAGTGCTGGTGCACATTTTTATTACTTATAATAGTACCCAGAGCCGGATTAAGTACTTTGGGGGCCGTAAGCAAATGATTCAGATGGGCCTAATTAATTACCTTATAAATATAAGTAACATGAATAAAATATATGAAGATTATTGTTTTCTGAATGTGTTAAAACTTTCATGGATTGTTTTGTTGCTTGAAGTGCTTGAGGATATATCCATGTTTACAGTTGAGTTCTGACGTTTCGGACTCATTGCAGAGTCCATCTTCAGAGTGATGGTTGCTAGTCGGTGGCTGCAACTATATTATTGTTTTCTGTTATATATAGTCTTTCTCCAAATTTAGAGGGAAGTGAATACTACAAACAACAAAATGTTATATAATATTATACATTCATTATTTTATAAATAAGATTTAATACAAAACCAGGTTAAATTGAAAATTTTTACTCTATAAGCACATTTTTTAATTATAAGTAAATACATAAATTATTATAAAATAAGTCACTGTCATCGTCGCAACTATCAAATTGTTTATCCCCTTCATCAAAACATAATTCTTTTTTCTAGCTTTTTCATTTGCAAAATTTTGGATCACATCTTCAAAGTCTAGAGATTTTACAAATTCACTTTCAATACTTAAAATTCCAAGATTTCGTAGGTTATTCTGTGATAGTAAAGATCTTAAAACGTTTTTTAATAATTTTAATCGGCTAAATGATCTTTCATCTGTACAGTTAGTACACATAAGAGAAAGATATAAACGTAATAACCGTTCAACATTTGGAAAACTCCTAGTCACATTTAAATCAACTATCATCTTATACATGTAAGCAAAATATTCTTCTTCTTATTTTTATTCGTTGTAATTAATGATAAAGACTTTGACGAAAAACTTAGAAACTGTTAAAACTCATTTTTAAAATCATCAGGGAAATCTTTTGGATACTTTTCCATTCCTTCTTCTATGTCTTCAATTTTCATGTCCATTGAAATGTCTGATAATAACTTAAAATTATCCCTTACGTTAGTATAAGCGTTAATTCTATGTACTAAAGCACTATAAAGCTGATCAATTATTAAATAAAAAGTATTTATTTTAAATGATTCTTTTGCATTTAGTTCATTAAAACTACTCTCGTTTCTTTTAAATTTTTTTCTATGCGTACTATTAGTACCATAAGTATAATATTTTTATAAACATCATTAATAGCACAAAATGTTCATATCAACGATTAAATATTAACACTTTCAATACGAGGTGTTATATTGTTAGTTTATTTGTAGACGAAATGATGGTTCGTGGGTGCCGGTGGTGGGGGTGCGACTTTAAATATAATACAGCTAGTCATAGGTATAAAAAATTGTCTAATTAAATATAATAAAACACAATACACATATTATTATTTTAAAGGTCGCAGTAGAAAATAGAATTGAAAATAATAATAATAGCGATTATACTATTATAACAATCGATAACGACAAGCAGTTAATTCTAAAAATAAATTACCCAACATAGTAATATACTAATACTTTACTGTATGGACGACGCTGCCGGTCGTCCAAACACTACTCGTGTGAGTAACCGCATACATTTCTGGTATCTGAGGGAAACAACTTAAATGTTCGCACTCGTCAAATGTATTATAGCTATTTTACTATCTAAAAATTTGCATTTTTAATAAAAATGTAGGATTAAGAATATAAAATTAATTTTATTCTTTTAATTAATTTTAGTAGGGGGTGCGATATCCCGTCGTCCAAGCCACAAGCAGCCACTGTTATCAAGTATAAATAAATCTTGAAAAATGGGACTCAAGACCATTAACTTTAAAATGTCACTTTACCTATCTGTTCGTCAATTAGTTTCGTAATTGATCATTAAAATTAATTAAACATTTTATGATGTAATAATTCATATTAATTTCAATTATAAAATTATCCATAGCTCTCGTTTAAATGTTTGTTATCTATTGCGATTGGTACTTATTTTTTTAGCGCAAGTTCATTATCCTGATAATAATGTTACTTATGTATGCATACATATTTGTTTGTGCAAATATATAATACAAAATTGATTGATGTGAAATCTAGATGGACAAGGTAAGATGAGAACAATAAGAAAAACACCATAAAACAAAATATAGTCATTCTGAATTTTAATTTGCGAGTAAACAACGTCTATGCTAAAAGTGTTACGAATGACAAATATATGTAAAACTTTTACCTGGTCGCTACAATAATATAACGTTAATAAAATCTATTCTAAATTATCTTTTATTTTTCTATTAGTTATTTGTTGATAGTTGTTTATATTATAAAGGTTCAAGTTCGCTTCCAAAACATTAATTTATATACGATAAGCATTTAGTAAAAATCATACGACTGACGCACGTGTCATAAATAAGTAGTGTACGTGATGATTTATTTACTTTAAAGTGTCGAAATACATTGCTGTCTTACATATTCACTTGACGAACAAAGCTGGTTGACAATCAACTCGAAATTAAAATGTTAGCATATTTAAAAGCGCTTTTAATTTATTTTAATTATGTGTACACAAATCAATGGTATGTCAAGATTTTTCTATGGAGGTCATAAATAAAAAATAATAATAATAAAAAAAAAAAATAATAAATAAAATTCATAGATCTTATACTTGTCTTTAATATTACTAACTGTTTGTTCATGTTCTTAATCTACCTGGAGTTATATAGTACTAAGAAAATAATAGCCATAAAGAATAATTACAGTTTGATTACTAATTTTCTATCAGTAATATTACTTATAATTATTAATTATAAAAGTAAATGTTTCATAGTTCAAAGTAATTTTTTCTGTCATTTATAGATTTCACATTTGTTGAGGTTTAAAAATTTCCTAAGATAATTAGAAGTTAAATAAATCCAGATTTTTAATATTTTTAATAATAATTTTGATAAAATAATAAAAGATATTCATGATTTAATAAAATTACATTAAAATGGCTATTTTGAATCTTCCCTATGACCTAGAATAAGTGTCAAATTTAAAAAAATTCATACCAAATAAAAGGAAAAGAAAACGTTTTGTTTAATCCATTTTTCAAAAAGTTATGACTGTTAAAGTAAAAAAAAACCCAGTACAGTGGTAGAGTCGTGACACAATAGGGATACGACAATGTTGGGACAAGTATAGATGATGTCTGGCAGTGATTAAAAGCACTACCATAAGAAACGCTTCGATGCAAATCTGTAGATAGTTTTTGTTTTTAAGAAATTGGTGGATTATTCCAAAAATATAAACTCTTATTTCCTTAATTATATTCTTATTACAAGTTATAATTTATAAGTAAATAATAGGTATAAATACTTATTGTGGTGATTAAATTTAATATGAAATTGATATTTAATAATGTAGTATTATAACTTTTACGGAGAAATTATAAAGAGTTATAAATTTGTTGTATATAGAGTGATTTTTTTGATATTAGCTACTCGATTTCTCTCAAATCATAGTAATATTAAGAAGATTATTTTTTGTATTTTTTAGTTTATATATTTCTCAATATTATTAATTATTACATTTTTTTTAATTCATCACTTATACTTTATAAAAGCGTCAACTTAACTTCTTTTATGGCTCAGTACAAATTTAACTAGCTTATAAAATGATTAAGTTAAAAAAATGACTAGTTGATAACATTTTTTTGAAATAGTACTTTATAAGTTATTAACATTTTTTTCAATAGATTTAAATGGAGTACTTAACCCCACCCTTCTATAGGACTATACCAATTGACCTAAAATATAGAAAGAATAATTAAAAAAAAAAATAGAAAATTTTATCATGAGAAATGGTGATTTTATGTACGAATTAAATTTTTTTTTTTAATGTTAGCGACTATTATAAAATATAAGGTGTAGGAATACTATTTTTTTGAACTTATTGTATGAAACATAAGCTTTAATGTAACATATATTTGATAATCGGAGTATTTCCGTAATATTTTCAAAAGTTAATTTTAAAATGTTAACTTTTCATGAAAAACTAGAAATTTTGAATTCTCTCCAGTAGGCAGATTAAAGGTCAGGTTTTCAAAAAAAAGATATACTTAAAATATCAAAAAAAATTATTTTGATTCATCCATTTTTAAAAAAGTTATGTTAATTTAAAATAAAGAAAAGTTAAAAAAATGTCGAAATTTATCGATTTTAAAAATCATAATTCTTTGATGGATTTCATTTACGAAGAACGATGGAAAAATTTTTAAGAGTAATGTCATCCATTAGATACAAATGTAATCTTTTTACGTATCGAGAAAAATCGGTCAAGTGAGAGCTAAGAAAAGGTAGTGAGAGTCACAAAAAAATAAACCCACCATGGTAAAATAAATACTTTCTCAGCTTTGCATCGTAGATATAATAAGATAATTAAAAAAATGAAATTTATGTAGAAATTTTAAATAAAAAATTACTATTTTTCTTTGTTGAAAATGTATTAATTTTTGAAGTAATATTAATTTTGGTAGCTTTTTTCTAAACTTGTTAAAGTAAACTCTAAACTTTAAATTTTTTATCTCGTTAAATATAAATTTATAAAAAATATAAATGGCATGAATATCTTAAAAGAGATTCAAGTTGTTACTCATCGTCGCAATTAGAATATAACTTTTGAGGGAGTTAATTTTATTTCATCCCTACCTTGAAAAATTCTTTTTTTAAAAATATATACGTTTTTTGGGGAAAGCTAATTTGTTAACATAAACACTAATCCTCCTCTAGCCCCCTATTTATTATAAAAATATGTGACCTACTGTTGAAAATCAATTGATACCGAGTACTCCATTTTACTTATTAAAAGTTATCTTTGCTGAAATACAAAAATAAATGAAAGTTATGATTATCTCACAGATTAATCCAATAACCAAAAACAGTAGAAATTATTAAAAATCTAATTTTTAACTACGACAACTTGTATGGTATAGTTAGTTAGCTTTTTAATTGAAATTTTACTGCACGTTAGAAATATACTATAAACTATCATTACAGAGTAGATATTAGGAGCATATATTGTGTGTACAGTCTATAATAGTTATTGAAAAAACTATAAAGAAATAGCAAAAGAGATTGAAGGCTTTAGGCGAAGCACGGCCTTGATGATTGTCTTGTTTAACCACCCGTATCTTCATCATCGTTGCCTTCTCCGTCAATTGTTTTATTTCTATTCCGCGGTGTCTGCAATGATGTAACTTAGTCTAATAGATAGGTATAATAATACGCAGTGCTCGTAATGCGGCATAATAACCTCCATGCTACTACATTAGGTCGTCCATCCGTCTTGTTGGTTCTTTCCGTTTGTAGATTTTTTTAAATGTGTGGCAGCTATTCTTCGTATCTACCAACGTTAGAAGTTATGCAACGACTTCAAAAAGCATCGGGATTTATAAACTGCCAAGCTAATAAAATATTATGCTTATACATGTAGATCTTAGCAACTACATACAAGACAGGCATCTGCCTGTAGTAGTGACTGGGGTAGGAGGTTCATGAAATGTAATGTCTCGCGACCCCATCTCTGGATACTTTCACTATTGCCGAGCGCGCCGTCGGACTAGCTTGCAATAGACACCTACATTAAAAAATTTCCTGAGATTCAGGTTTTTGACGGAACGTAAAAAAATTGCTCTTAATATCATAATAGTAAATTAAAGTAAAATTCTCATTAAAATATAATTTTTAATTTTCGCGCGAATAATTGTTATAACTCTCCATATCTCAAAAAAATTTTTTATTAAAATGTGTCGGTCAATTAAATCAAAGCGTTGAGACAATTCGCTTTAGTTATTTGTACTTAATAAAATTTTACATCTTACTTAGTGAACGCCGTGAAAACCCTTAAAACGGAGTTTTTTGAGTGGGAAAAATTTTAATTTTTTGAAAAAGCATTAGAATGGTGACAAAATATAAAATTTCTCAATCCTTCAAGGCAGTGTTTCCTGTATTCTTGATCATATACGTAGACCTATTCGATACGACTGATGCTGTGTTATCCGTCAACGCTACTCGTAAGTACTCAATTTATATCTTTTGAATCTTAAATTAAATTCAAGTCAATAATTAATTATTAAAATCAAACCTAATATTAACTATCATATAAATTATTAGTTATAATTAAACATCTTTGTATTATAGTAATAATAATGTATTATAAGATTGTTTAGGTAGTACTAATTAAATTATGTGCAAACTATAGTTATGGTTTAAAATTACCATCTTGTATATGTCAATTATAAATTTGTCTGATTTTTATCGATTCACTTCCTCTACTGAGAGCCATGGCAGTACGATCTCTAACATTAAATATATATTTTTATTTGTTTTCATTGAACCATAAAACAGTAACCAAACGTATCGAAAAATAAAAATTAGCCGAAATAACTACCACTAAATATGGCTATAATTCGAGTTATCTAAAAATCTGATGTGTACCGTTTTATGTATTTTGCAAAACAAAATCATTGAAGGTATGGGCTAGGACATTTTTTTTTATTTTAATATTAAACACGTGTAAAAATAATATTTATGTTCCAATTCATTCATGACATTCGGGTTGTTTAATATTACTTGGAACTTTGAGTATCCTTTAATTTTACAAAGCCATTACAAAAAGTATCATAACTAGGGAGCATGACCCTAACACACTTATTAATGACCGTATCTTATTTATTTTAAAAATCTTTCGAAAATATGAGGTGAAATTAAAAATGATCATTAAATACAAATTTTATATTTTAAGAATAAAATACCTAGAAAAAAAAAATCCTCAATTTATATAACTAATTTGATACGCTGAGACGGTTCTTACAAAAAATTATTGTATTGCATGTATTTTGTAATTATGGAGGTCATGGACCTTATGACCCTCCGGATCAACTACTTGCTTCAATAAAAGTCGTAATAAGAGTCTTCCCAACCCCTAAATTCTAACTATCAGTTAAGAAGTTTTGGCTACGTCCCTGATATCAAATATAATTAAAAATAGTTAGAAATGGTGTACTACTATATTAGGAGATGTTGTATGTTTAGTTATGTTATCATAGCTATCACGACACCTCAAGCATTAATTAGTATTGCTGATCACAAAATAAATTGTAATAATACTTTAGCGTACGAGTGTATCTATTATATAAATTAAGTTACAAATTTGTTCGTTTTGATTTCGTAATAATTAGAGAACAGCTCAACGGTGACATCAACATAAAGGTTTGGCGATACGCTTAACAAGATGTATTAACTATTTATGTTCAACGAACTAAATACACGGTTGGTGGTTCACGACCCTTAGATAATTATTTGTATTTTAAAATTATGTAATTTATTTTAGAACTATAATAAAACTATAAGCGGAATTATTAATTGATTGCCTATGAAAAATGTAAACTTTGTTGGCTAATCAAAGGTTACAAAATATTAAAAAAAACTTCAAAAGAGTAGTTGTGTCACCAAGATTAACCAGTTATTATTTTTATAAAATCTATTTATTTCACCATTTAGACTAACATTTTTACTGATTGATGTTGCTTTTCAAGTTAACATTCGCTGATTATAATTTGAAATATGAGTCCTAATTATATGCATAGGCAAAAATTAGGAAGGAGCGTAGTCTTCTTAAATTTTAAAAAAATTACAAATTTGTTCGATAAAACAAATTAAGGAGGGAGAGATTTCATAGTTAAAAAAAAAAAAATGTCATTTAAATCGTGCTATGATTATGAATGATTTAATAAACTTTTTCAAATAATATTAATCGATTTAAACGCTCCATTTGTCTTCAATGATATATCACTATTTATAGTTTTGATAAAACGTGTACCGAAATGATTTAAGATCTCTTGATATATATTTTTTTATTACATTTTATTTTCATTTGAATTGTAATTTATTAAAATTTAAACAATAAAATAATCTGACTTAATCATTAGCTTTACAATAAAATAACTGCTATTCACATTTTTTATTACTGTTTATCTAACATTGGCCTTTATTATCGATATTATTATTTAACACGACGTAATAAACATAGTGTACTGTCTATCGATGTGTGTAATGCAATGAACCCGGTTATTAAATGTTATGTGTTTGTTAGAGATGCCCGACTTTCTCCGATCGAATCGATGATGGCCCTCAAAATGATCGTGTTAAATAAACTATTATTTTTTACGGACGGTGTAAAGTATAGTTGTTTTTTTCACTGTATCTCGAGTAGTTCAGGCGGAATGCGTTAATATTTTTATTAACAACATGTTTATAAACTCAATAAATATACTGTTTACATTGAATTTGATTTTGAATAATATTAAGCGGTTGATTAAAATTAAATAACGCCGTCTAATTGTAACTCAAAAACTGTCAGTCTATTTATTTTTATGCATATTGCTGTTACAATATTACATAGTAATACAATCGACACGTCCATTTCGTGTCAAATAGATTGGAAATAGTCATAATTTGTTATGTAATACTGAATCGTGTTTCACAAGATGGTCGGTTTTTTCAAAACTTGATGACAAAATTAATCGCAAATACTTCTAATTGCCCAACTTTAATATTTAGTTTTATATTGCTCTCTGTTTCTTAAATTCATCTGTTCGGACACGACGATAATCCATGAGATAAATCGCCTTGTAATCTGTGTTTTTATGTGCTCACATTGTTTGATGTAGTCACTTTGCAATATGGGCCTATTGGTACACGCTGACATGCACATATACATACATTGATGGACAATTGAAAACACACCGTCTTAACGGGGTCAAGGGTAAATCAACAAATGATTAATATAGTCGATAAATAAACAACAATGAAATAATGTATTTCGAATTAGGCTAAGTCAACGAAACAGTACCAGTTACTACTTAAACAATTCAATTCTTGTCGCACCTCCGGTTGGCTGTCGCGGTACTCAGATGACCAACGGTCGTTGACGAGCCAAGGCAAAGACGTTGACCGGAAACATAAAGTCTACCGGGTACTAACAAGAAAGTGAAAGTGACCGCGACTGTTGCGAATACTAGGTTAGGCAGTTATAAAAGTATTACTTAATACTTTATAAAAAACTGGTATGTGTATGTGCTGAATATTGTAATGGTCAGAGAGAAATTTACAGGAGACTTTAACGGCGGGGGTTGACAAGTGACAGTTATGACTTTAGAACTAGTATATTATGATAAAAAAATACAATACGTGAATTACTCACACTTTGTTGCCATTTTTCGTATAATAATTCTAATTTCATTAAGTAAGTAAATAACTTAATTTTTTTAATTAAATTTCAAGTAATGAAAAATTGGAAAGTGTTTTTCGTGATCGTAACCTTATTGTAGAACAATAAGTTTATTTGCCCTGGTTTATTTTTGTTCTAATGATGGTGAAATATAAAAAATATACATTTGAAACAATGAATAGTATATTATTTAATATAAATAAAGTGAAAGTAAATTATTATTTCTATTAATCAATTTTTTAGGGTAACCTAAAGGCGTAACTAAATGGGGAAGATTTAAAATATGTCTCTCGGAACAAAATACATTTTATAGTAAAAAAAATAGGGCATCTATAAGAAAAAGGGGCAACATTTTTTTATACGACACACAAAATATTCAATATATAATATTTTCATGAATCTTCATCGACAATAAATGTTTTAATATAAAAAATGGTAAACATAAAAATTATAAAGCTAATATTTTCTTATATTTACCTTCAAAATATAATCGTTTTGAAGTCATTATAATGATTTCAAAATGAGAGTCATCCTATAAGATGATTCTTATACGGTGTGGTCGTGAGTATTTATTTAAGTTTGTTTATTATATAATTATATTACAAAGAATTTCAAATTAAACAGGTAATATATTTGATTATGATGATAATCCTCTTTTCATCTAATATGTACCGAGAAAATATGGATAATGTAATCTTTTGATACAATTATGGATTCAATACAAAATATATTTCATAAAATATATATAACCCTTGTATTTTCGCATTTTTATTTTATTGTGTAAATATATGTATTTAATATAATTTAATTTATGAAAACAACTATAACTCTTACCTAATGGAGATCATAGTGTTATCAAATTGACTGATAAATAAATGTAATTAATTAATACGCTTTCAAATAAGCTATTTATCGTAGTAACCGATAAGTGATTATTGAAAAACTAAAATAATGTTAAAATATCTACGTTAATACGTATAATATAATATATGTATAACTCTATGTGGTAAAACTAATTTATATTTATCGCATTTGTACGATTGTAATTCATTTATCTTGCAAATTTAAATATATGTGACTGGATCAGAAAAAAAGTGGGCTAATGGTTAAAAAAATAAATTCTCTTGGTGGTTGCTCAAAATCATAATTTTTCTGGCAGCGTTATAAAACTTTTTTTATTTTCTTTTGAAACCCAAGCTATTGAAAACTATTTGTTGGTTATTAATTTTAACTATAGCATATAACTTATTTAATTTAGTCATATTTATAATTTTCAAGATTTAAAATTAACTATGTTTATACTTTACAGCTGAATATATTCACCAATGTCACAGGACAGACCCGCAATTAAACAGCTGCATAAAGCAAATCTTCAATCACCTTAGGCCTTATATAGTTAATGGTATTATTCTTAATTTTTTATATTTTTCTTACAATGAATTAAATAACGCACAAAACTTTTACAATTGTGTAAATACAAACATTTTCATTTATAGGTATCGATGAATTGTCTGTGCCACCTATTGAGCCTTTACTCATCCCTAAAATGCAAATGGAAAATGGTCATGGGGCTGTAAGAGTGAGAGCTATATTAAGCAACATGACTATACACGGAGCTAGCAACTACACTGTTTTAAACGTCAGGTAGAATACTATTCTTTATATTCCATATATATTGCACTATAAGGATACTTGTAGTTCCAACAATTTTAAAGATATTTCAACAAAAGGATTATGTATAGGTCGCAAACATTTAGACTACTAATAAACTCGGCAATAATAATGTAAAATGTTACATTATAATATTATTAATTACAATAGTTTCGTACAATAATTGAAATGTAGTCCCAGACATATTTGAAGACATATTCATTGTTTTCTACGCGCATATGTAAATACAGCGATCGTTGACAGATTATTGTTTCTTAGATACTATTTTGTAGTTTTTAATCTAATTAATAAGTACTGAACGATAATTATATTTCAATTATACAAATATTTTCTAAGGAAATAGTCATAGTTAAAATGGACAAAAAACCGAAGAACTTCTTTTTAATATCATCTTTATACAATGTTAATAATTCAATTTGGATTTTTTATCTATAGAAGTGATTTAAACAAGCTTCGAGTTGATTTAGGAATTTTTATTCCTCATTTAGAGGCAACAGGAAATTATGATGTTAACGGTAACGTATTACTACTTCCAGTTAGGAGCAGAGGAGATTTTTGGGCATCTTTTGGTTAGTAACTTAATTGTTAAATAATATTGTATAATAACGTTACTGTTAACACAATTTTTATTAAAATATAATGATGCATATTTTTAGATAATGTAACCGCGTTAGCTAAATTATACGGAGTTGAAGTAAAAAAAGATGGTGTCACTTTTATGAAGACGGAAAGATTGGGCGTTGGATTCAAATTAGAAAGTTCGGACTTTAAAATCAAAGATTACATAAATAGGCAAAATGTTATAGGTAAATAAATATTAAAGAAATTATTGTAAATATTGAGATTAAATCTAAAAACTTTACAATTATTGATAAAAATAATTTCAATTTGTTATTAAGTTGTATATTTTAAACTATGCTGAACATTTTTGCTACATAGGAGAAGCAATGAACGTTTTCTTGAATGAAAATTCTGCTGAAATTATCGAAGAAATGAAGCCTGCTGCGTCACAAGCTATTGGAAAACATTTCAAAAACTTCCTTAATACAGCCTTTTTACAAATACCAATGAAAGTTTGGCTTAAAGACGATTAATGAGACGTAAGATTATTAGATGAACAATCTTTGATGACAATTTTTGTTATATTTATAAAAATTCTTATTTGACTATTTCTTTCTATTTTAAATATCTTGTATATAGTCAACTAGTTCTATATTAAATTCATGAGTCTAAACTTCCTTAATACTGACTCATCAATAATTATTTTCTATGTTTTTAATTACATGTACAAGAATAGTTTTAATTAAAAATCATACATTTTTAATAATTGTTTGTCTAAGTGTTAACAATATAATTAAATTTAATGAAATTATTTTAAACGAAACATTCTCATTAAGTGTTTTCTATAATATTATTTTTTATTAATTATTTTAATAAGTGATCATACCAAAATTAAATGTAGCTAATAGAATATATTTTAATTATAATTTACTATTAATTTCACTTATAATATAAAATATGTTTAGTATCTTGGCTATGGTAATGTGTAACTACAATTCATTTTTATTACCATATATCAATTAATAATAATTTAGCTAAGATAATTTTTAGATTTTTATAAGTTTAATATTTAATTGGTAACTCATATACTTTGCCGGGCAAAGTTGCAATCATAAATCATAATTTACATGTAAAACTTACCATAGACAAATCATGTTTTTTTGCAAAAAATCACTTTTAAAATCTAGATAAGTTATGAATTTATATTGTAAATGAACTTAAAAATATTTAATTAATCTAATCAAGATATCCAAAAATAATTTTATTTTTATAGATATAACGATGAATTCATTGTTTTAATTATAATTAAAATGTAAAATAACTATAATGAAATATATTTGATATTATTGATAAATAAAAATTCATCTTATTGAAATAAATTCTTTTATTTATGTACTCTTCATTAAATTTGAATACATGAAATTTCTCATTTTTAGTACTTAATGTATTACAGTATTTTTTATTAACTTATTTTATATATAAAAATAATTAAACATACAACATATTGAGGTTTTTGAAATATCAATCTTAACTTAAAATAAAACTGACATTTTCATATTTAGAACGTACATAGGAAAAATTATAATATTTTCAACCTTTAATAAGTGTTTAAATTATAAGGTGGATAAGGACCTTGATTGAATATTGAATAAAAGAAAGAATAGAAGAGCAAGGTCAGAAATATAAATTTAAAGAATTCGTTTCTCATCAATAGAAATTATGATGGTTCGGTAACATTGATTGTTATCTCAAATATACAATTAAATTAACTATAAAAAAATATATATAGAAAAATTAATTCGTTAATGTATAAATATATATAGATAGATAAAATACAACCATAAATGCAGGTCATTAAACTTTATCCGTCTAACAGTTCTATAATTTTCAAATGTCTGAAGAAGGGTTAAGTTACTATAGATTACAGCTTTTCCAATTTTATAAAATATTTATAAATATTTAGTTATACTATTTAGATTTAAATTTAATTTTACTTGTACTAAATAAGTACTTATTGATATTGAAGTAGTAACAACGTTAAATTTTTTTATGATAATACTAAAGTTGTATATATTATTGTTATAATTATAATTACAGCTCCCTATTATATACAGAACCGGAGCGTGTCAATCCATGCCAAATCATCCAGAAGTGGCTGCATAATCACCTCATATTTTCTTTAAATTTTCAGGGTTTATTCTTTATGATATAATTAGAACAAAACAATTTTTTTTCTTTTTAAGGCTATTTCAATGTAAAAAATGTTAAAAAATATCAAAAAACACTCAGATTATTCAATATTAGCTCGCTAAAATGTTTTATCATAAGACTTAAAATTAAAACTATAATAAAAATGTTATTATTTAAAACTAAAAAATATTAAAAATTATGAACTCAAAAAATCACAAAATATTACAAATATAATGTTACCTTTATCAACCTAACCACATACAAACAAAGTAATTTACCAGTTAAAAGTGATTGAGATGGTATCCCACACCATATGTCAAAAGATCACAAATTGTATCTAGTTAAAAAAATTAGTCTCAAATATTGACAAAAATTTCTCTCGTTTCCTGTAAATAAGAATATCTCCCCAAAAATACGATTTTTTTTAAATTGGTAAAATATTTTATTTTATTATTTAAAAATTGATAAAATATTTTTACTTAAAACTAACATAATTTTATTAAAAATGAATCAACACAATTATTTTTTTATAAATATTTTAGGTAATTTTCATTTCTTTGGTATATTTTTTTTTTTAATTAAACCCTTTATCTACACACAGGGGAGATTTTGAATTTTGTATTCCAGGTTCATAAAAAAAATGTTGGAGACCACATCTTCCATCCACTTTAAAAGAAATGAATATGAAAATGTCTTTGTCTTTGCACGTTTTCTTTTTGATTTCAATTTTTTACCGTTATTACTTTTTACAAAATGTACAACTAGGCAATTTTTTTATTTTAAAATACATTACAAGGAGAAGCTACTGATATTCGTAAAAATTATGTATACATAATTGGCATAAAATATAAAGTTAAACTTATTTTAAAATTTTCAATTCTTTTAAGTCTCAAAAAAGGTCTCCAAAATTTTGAACTAGCTTTAATTGTTTACTTTTATATTTCGTCAAATGCGATGTAGGGTTGCTGCGTCAGCGTCACTAAAATATTTTAGAAGTTCTAACCCTGCCTGTCAAAATTACTTTTTTTGTGGGACAAAAATCGAAATTTGTTTGATTTTTATTTTGTATAGATTGAATAATTTTAATAAATAACAATGACCCAATTATTGTAGTCTCTCCTCTAAAAAGAAATTTCAGCTTATATCATTTTACTATGTGTCTTTTTTTGCATGTGTCATTTATTTTCCTTAGCTCTTACTTTATTATTTTTTTCAACTATTATATAGTTAAAAATATTACTCTCAAAAACTGAAAAATATTTTCCCTTAATCACATAAAAATTGTCTTTATAATTATTCTCCATTTAGACAATTACAATCATTCATTTCTATTGTTCTAAAGTATACATTGTCGAATTAGATTTGATATGATAACAGGTTTCTACTACAAATTTAAATTATTTTACTTTATTATTTATTATTTTTTAACTCTATTTTTGTGTTCTACTACCAATCTATAATAACTTTAAAAACTTAAACTGTATAAATAATTTCTAAAAAAATGATTTTGGGTTGCACCTTTATATAACAATGGATTTTTTTAAAATCATCAATTTTATAATAAGCTCGATTGTATATATTTTTTTAACTACTTTTTAATTGTTTTTTAGTTTGAGTGAATCCATAAAATTAATTAAACTTTGAATATTTTAATTGTAAAATCTTTTTAAACACTAAGAGTTGCATAAATATGATTACTATGATTACTTTTAAAATGATTTATAACTATAAAAAGAAAAAAAAAGTGATTTTAACGAAAATTTGAGTTTTATCATAAAATTACTGTAGATAGTAATTATAAAATTTCCTAACTGTATTTAATTTTTTTATTAAACCTTTTATTATTATAAATTTTTATAAAAATCAAATTTAAATTATTAAAAAAATAAGTTAAAAATGACATTTAAAATTGAAATTTAACTTGGATTATTTTTAACATATTAAAAATAAATAATAGTTTTAAAAATTGTTTTTTATATGTAAATACTTGTTATTTACTAATAAGTAATAACCTCAAAAAAGAAGTAATATCTAATTGCAGAATTGAAATCGGAACAAAAATAAGTTTAAAAAGGTATATCATGGTCTCTGATAAAAGTTCCTTGTAGACCAGTGTATTTATTTTTAAGTAACAAACAAACATTTTTTTAAGTTATCAAGTCTTTTATCTTTTTATTCAAAATTGCGTTAGAAATAAAGAAATATACAAATAAATTTTTTATAATTTCTTCATAAAAATTACAATATCTAATTATTGAATATCAATTTTATACTAAATCTAATTACTGTAATAGTTATTTTTATAATATACTTATAAATCAAAAAACTACATATTAGGGTATAATTAAGGAAATAGGAGTTGATGTTGATTTTGCAATAATTTACAATTCCAAAATAAAACTCTACCTACTGATTTACACGGAAGCGTTTCTTATGATAGAGATTTTAATTACTATCAGATATCATATTTACTTGCCCCAACTATGCCTCGTTCACATTGTGATGCGACCTCTCTTGTGCTACCTGTTAATATTTTATTATTATTTATAAATCATCGTTTTTACTTTAGCAGAGCAATTTTTATAGTTAGAGCTAAATTACACATTTTTTAAATATAAACTTTAGGAAGAATCTGTTAGTTTTCTTTAATTCTATGTTTTTAACAAATCTAATAATATATAAATTAATCTAAAAATTTATGACTAAATTTGCCATTTAAAGTGAAATTACTCAGATAACTTAAAATGTAGGTAATGGTTATAGTTCACGTAATTAGTACAAAATCAATTCTGATTTTTAAAATCAATAGATTTTATCTAAAGGTCAGATTCCAATACTTAAAACGTTGTTATTAGGTTATTCTGTTCCATTTTCGGATTAACGATTATGATTGTAATTTAAATTATATATTTTGCTAACCTAAAAGTTACATCGCTTGTCATTTTAAGAATCAAGGAAATTATTACATCAATATTATTAAACAACTTTTAATTAATAAATTAAACATTAACTAGAAGGGTCAGTTTTATGTTTACTGTTTGTGGCACTAAAAAAATGGCATAGATATAAATAAATGAGTATCAGAATTTTCTATGAGATTACTGATTTATCTTTAATAATCAGAGAGTAATATTAAAATAATTAAGAATTCTATATTGTAGGCTATTACTAAACAAACAAATGTTGTATTTCTATGCACATACAAAGTTGCAAATCCATGTTATTACTAAATAATTGCATAACATTTACTATCTACTTAAAAAGATATAAGAGATTATTAAAATATAATGTATTTAGACATTTTTAGAGTGGTCTTTCTATCAATAATATATTATGAATTCTTTGATATTTCAATAATTAAAAAATAAATATTCATGTTGACCTAGTAGAGCTTTTAAAATGCAAAGAACTAGAGTTTTAACAAAAAAAAAAATACTGATAATTAATTAGCAGCGAAAATAAAGTAAGGAATCGAAATTCCATATTTAAGCCTCTGGACTGATTTTTCTCAACGATACTTCCACAGATCTATCGTGAAGCTAAAAAATATTAATTTTACAATTATTTCTTTCTTTATTTTTGTGAATCATTTATTTTTCTTTAATTTATAAACTATTTACCTGACTTAACTTATACAATTGAGCTCAATAGAATAGAATCTTGATACTTATTAAAGTACGATGCTCTCTTAACCCAGCTATTTAGATACCAATATTAAAATGTAATATTAAAAGTGCGGTTAATATTTAATAGCAACCACCCTATTTTTTTGGTTTATTTCTGATTAAGGACGCATCCAACGTTTTTGTCCAAGGCGTGTCGAAATATAAATTTATATAAAATTATTTTACTCTTTTTAGCCCCTGTGGCTAAAAATTTCAAAAGCAACTTAAAAATGAATTGTTTTAAGCAAAACCGTCCATTACCCTCAATAGTACTCATGAAAATAATTTGATAAATGGACTTAATAATCCTCGCTTAAGTTAATATGATTAGTAGCACTTTTATTATTTTCAAAACACGCGTATTTTGAAAAATATTAGAGTGCAAATTGTTTTGAATAAATAAAATTTATCTTGGGAACATTTCCTCTGGTCGTCTAATTAATTCACGCTTTGTCGTTGAGTGGTCGATTAATGACTTAGCATTGAACAGGATGTAACTGACGAACTTTGGTCAAATATAAATACATACACAACGTTCCGTGTGAAAAGAATCTCCGTTTAATACAGAGATAAGAGAATCACTTTAAATATACAGTAGGTGTTAAATATACCTACTATTTTACTATCAAGCAGGGATAACCAAATTTTTTTTAAACAAACAATTATTTTCTGCAAGATTATTATTCTACAAAAAAAATAAAAATAGTTAATTCCGGTTTTTTCAAATTTCGTCCAAGGTTAATCAAGCAACATTGAAGAATTATAACTCTAAATATAGTGTTTAATTTTAATGATGATAATTTTATTTTTGTTTACTTTTCGGATAAAAGCTAAAGAAATATTAATTTTATAATGAAATAGAAAAGGGAATTTGAAGTAACTTAAATCTTATGAAAATCTATAGTTTTTAAAATCTAATATCTAAAACAAAGCCAAAAATGTATAAGACATTAGTAGAAAGTATACTTATCACTTAAATATTTGTTATTTTGATTTTTCGTTATTACAAGAAAGGTACATTAATTAAAGCAAAGACAAAAAAAATTATTGTTTATTTAACTAAAAAATAAAAAAAATATATTGTTTACTTTTCAATTTAATTACAATACTTGTTTGATTGTCTACGAAAGAAGAAACTTGTATTTTGCAATATTTAGTTGATTTATCAGATACAGTTTTGGTTAACCCTGTGTAGATGTACTCCCTCTGCAATCAAACAAATCGTATTTGCTTGTTACAATATCACACGGCACAATAAGTCGCTGTACGTTGATCTCTGAAACACAAGCGCATTACTAGCACACGAACATTAGTAATTATAAATCAGCCGTTGCTAAAAGTGTGAATTTTTAATAATTTTTTGTTTTTCCCGAAAAAGTTTTCTCAATAGTTTTAATTTACAGTTGTTTGAACCGCGTGATCGTGTTAATTAATTAGTCATTGATCATTTATAAACATAATTAAAATTCTAATAGAAGTATAGTGGTACCGAGCCTTATAAATTGAAAGGTTTGTCCCGTTGATAATTGTTTGGGAAAATGAAGGTGAGTCCCTCTACAAAAAAAATTGAAATAATATATTGCCACTAATAAAATATAACTGGAATGTGTTAAGAAATTTGTCTGCTTATATTATTTAAAAAAATTACTGTACTATCTATTAATATGCAAACTCGGTCTGACGTTCCTGGTAAATGATAACCAAAAATTATTAATTTTCGATTGATATATTCAATTTGAATTAGTCTTATATGAATAACGGGATAAAAGTGTCGTCTAGAAGATTTCTTTTTATCCGAGTTTTGAAGTTTAAAAAAAAAAAACGTATTCCGCGTCTGTAAAGCGTGTCGTCTTGAGCAAATAGAAATTTGATTAGTTACGCGAGATCCAAGTCCAAATTGTTTGTTTTTGATCTTATTACTAAAAGATATAATTTGAAGGCCGATTGCTCGGCACATTGTTTAAAAATAAAATTGATAAACATATTGTTGTCAATAAAATATTTGAACGAAACATCTGAGGGTGTGAAATAATATATGTCTTATCAGACTGTACGTTGAAAACGATATATCTATAGACATTGGTCTCAAATAAGTGTTGTTTATAAGTGACTGTAGTATATTTCAACTAGTGATATTATTAATATTGTATACATAAATGTTCAATACGGCACTACTTTAGGTTGTGTTTACATACTGATTAGGATGGACTCCTAGAAGTACGTCGATCAGTACTATAGAAATGGTTAAATTCATGTAAGACTCAAAATATTTAAATGAAGCTTTAGTAAATTTATCTATTTTTACAGTAGTCCCTAATTAAATGAAATGTTTATTTTTATAATTATTTAGATTGCGGCCGCAGTGTTAGAATTATGTCAGCGAAACGTCGAGACGATTTGATATAAGTACCAACTGCAACGGTTTACACATCATCCGAGACGTCAAGTTAAATTTTTTATTAACAAATTTTTCTTCGCTCCTCGACATCGGAGAGCTTCAGTGAACGGACTGCTGCTTGAATATGCTACGCATATCAAATTTCAGCAAACGACAATGGCTAACGTTAATCGTGTTTAGTATTGCTGACTTTTGCAACGCTATTTGCGTATCTCTACAAGCTCCGTTTTATCCATTAGAAGTAAGTTAATAGTTATTATCAAAAAATAAACCTTATGACCCAGATCATTTTATAAATGAGCGAAAAAACCTAACGGAGATTGGAACCATAGTTTTTTTTTTTAAGTTTTATTTGAGTTTGAAAAAAATTTTAAAACATCGGTTCGGTTCATTTCGTACTTAAAATATGAGTTCCAGTTTTAATCGATCGAATTTAATTTAATCAAAAGCCAAATATTCTCAGAGTTAGAGTTAATAATTATTCGGTATTAACTCTGACAATGACTTGTATCGTACCATTAATATGTTAATGTAGTGATTGAAAAATTTATTAATATAAAGAATGTTCAACCAGGTGTTTTATTATATTTTATGTAATTATTGAGTTACAAGCATTTTGATACATGGAGCGGGCGGAAAACGCACACACACCAATACGAGCTAAACCCATCAGAGCTATATACCTACATTTTATTAAGTAAAGAAGTTAAAACAATAATTAAAAAAATTTCGAATAAAAAAAAATATTTTTTTTTCTTTTTAGAAAAAAACAAAAAATATGCATTTACGCAGTACATAATTGTAAAAATTATTTTGAAAAAGTAACGCAAAATGTTAGCTGGGCTAAAAATCATTAAAAATGTTAGAATACCTGGTTGAATATTCCCTATATTAATAAATTATTCAATCACTACATTAACCGTATTAATGGTACTATATAAGTCATTGTAAGAGTAAAATGCCGAATAATTATTAAGAAAATCTATAGTTCTTATGGTTGCAATTGAAAAATAGTTTTTTAGATACGGATCATATCCCTGATATTTAGTTTACATCCGAACAGGGATTTCAAAGCTTTTAAAACATCATTATTATAGTTGGGAAGTAGTTTTTAAAGACTTATTTGTTTTTCTATAAATTCTAATTTAAGTTTGTAATTATACAAATTGATTAAATTTTCTCCGTCTATACGTATTTCTGTCATTGATAAGCCTGCAACCAAATGCGATTTGAATATCGGTCAGATATGTGTTGAGGTCAAGTAAATTTATAACTCGTGTAATTAATATAATGTAAAGAAAATATTAAAAAAAGGAAAATCATTTAATCTTCGACCCACTTACAAAAATCTCGCAAGTCCAAAGTTTTCTTTACCCATCCATCTCAGTACTTTTTTTTTTACTCTTTAAAGCATATTATTATCGCTATGAATGCACACAAACTGTTTGCATTAAAAAATACAAACATAATAGTCATTAACATGTGCTATAAATATTGAGAAACTCGGTGTAAAATGTTTTGGTAAGGTTCTCAATGATGATTATTGTATGTAATAATCATTTATATACAGAGTGATCGGATAAAATATAATAATCGAAACAGATATGTACAGATTTTCCCAATAATGTATTTGTTTAGAGAGCAATCGAATGATTAATGATAAACCGATCACTCTGTACAGTATGATCTATTAAGAATACTACCTCTTGATAAAAAATATCATGTTTATTGTAAAAATAAAACTTATCATTAACTATTTTAATCAGTAGCGCCGATATCAAAATTTATAATTTAAACCGTCAATTTTTTAAATTTTTTTTGCTCATTACGGGTTATCAAATTATCTTTTTCGCGAAATTACAGACATTAATCAGAAAAAAACAAATCCCTAATATACCATCCACCAAATATATGAATTGTGGCCGCATATATATGTATAGGGATTACAGATTTCAATAGTATTAATTTTTACCCAAAAGTGGTCACATTTAACGAAATATGAAATATATTGTTATTATTGTTTTACAAGTTCTATGATTAACTTAAACATAAAAACAAATCAGAATTTAATTGTTTTAATTAATTTCTTACTTTATTTCATTCGGATGAATTTTTTCCAATAAAGTATAAATCTACTGTAATTTAAGAAAAATATTAAAATTTACTTGATGATAAGATTTAAGAGAGTTTTAATAACATGTAGCTGAGCCATTCGGGCAAATACTCAACATAACTTTTTTTAATTTTAATTTAAGGCTGAATGATTATATTTCTTGAGACTTCTTTTTCGTTTTTAAATCAAAGAAAACTTCTTTGTTTAATTAAAATAAATAAATTGACTAATTTGTACTGTATTATTGTAGGCAGAAAGGAAAGGAGCCACTGCTACCGAATATGGGCTCGTTTTTGGGGTCTTTGAGTTAGTCGTATTTATAATTAGTCCAATTTATGGTAAACACGTAAGTATTATGATACAATAAAAATATATCTGAAATGTTATGAAGAATATAAATGTATCTTTTAGCTAAATAAAATCGGACCGAAGTATTTGTTCAACGGTGGAATATTTACGACGGGAATATGTGCAATACTGTTCGGGTAGGATTCAATATTTTAATCATCACCCAGGGCCGGATTAAGACCTATATGGACTGCCTCGGGGGGATACATTGAAATGGCCCCCAATGGAAAATATCACTACCATGTGATGAGCAAAAAAAAAAAACCAAAAAACTATATGTCGTTAATTATGACACGCTTGTAAAATTCGAGATGGATCATTTAAGATCGTGATCTCCGGGGTGTTCCTTAATCCGGACCTGCCACAACCTATTTATTAAGTTAATTTTATTGAAAAAATTATGTCCCGGATTTAAAAAAAAAAATGAACTTAAAAATATAATATAAACAGTGACAATTTATATACAGTCACAATTCAGACTGACTCTAATTACCATAAAAATAGTTTGGAGTAAAAAAAAACACTATTAATTCGTCAACAATTGTGAAAATACGATAAATTTTGTATAATTAAAATAAAATAATCAATTTCTATTGTTTTACGTATAATAAAAATAATAAACTGTACTTGTGACAGTAGTGGCGTATTAACAGAGAAGGGGTCGTGGACACCCCACTAAACATAAAATCATAGAAGTGGAGTAACTTCTTATTTTAAATTTAATGCAAATTTGTTTGTAATTAAATTTTAAATAAAAATTTATTATAATATTTTTTTTTTATATAAAAAATGCTTAAAATATTATTGCATGCTTAAACACAACTCACAATGATCGTTAGAGAATTATTACATTTGTAAAATTAATAAATTTGATAAGCTATCGCACTATAATTACATTGGGACTTATCTCAAAGAAAAGATTTTTAACATTTTACTATAGTTGAACTCAGCTTATTATTCTCTGTCTAATGATGCAAGTCCTATCAATGAAAATTGGTACGATTATAAATAAATAACTTGTTATTCAAACAACAAAGTCTCAACTTTGAAATCTTTTATCTCAAAATATTATTATTCGAGATACGTCTTCATAGTGTGATATTATGATAGGAAAAATTGTGTTGGATTATAATCAAAAAATACGATTATTAAAATATTGAAAATTTATCACAAGTCGTAATCGCTGATGGAATATACTACGGTCAATATAAGTAACCATCTTCAACACACGATTTCTTGAGAATGTTCAATGAAGAAATTATCAATATTTTAAAAAACAATATAAGTTTCGGTAATAAATCATTTAAATTTATCATTACTCAAGTTTTCTGTAATACCTCTGTCAAGGTATTTGTTTTAAATGTTATAATACATACTATGGATGCAACTCATGTACAGTTTAAGGAGATTTCATAAATAATCGAATGGCAAATCTAAGTATAGATTTTCCTCTTAGAACAAATCGATCATTACGTAATTAAACAGTTCAAGCCAATCGGAACATGTGCAAATTGATATACTTTCGGTGGTTATCTTGAAATGTATGCATAATAATATTTATAAATGAAAAATTATTAGCTTTTAGATTTCAAGACAAAAACATGGAAAACGGGCAATTAAGCGTCCCAGGGTTTTCTCGGACTTTTCTGCTAATCTTATGAACTTTACATATCTCAGAATGATAACTATGTGATAGCGTGACGACGTTTTTTTGCACGTAAAAATGTTTATATATGTATAACGTAATAAGTACTCGAATTGAATCAGCTCGACTGGAAAATAGATAGGTCTTTTGTTTATCTATTTTGTTTCGTCATAATTTATTTTTGATTTTTACACTTATACAACATATCAGAATATAAATAGTACAACATTTTACGTTTCCGCTGAGAACATGCATGTCTATAAAAATTATCTAATTTTGTTCATATTAAAATGATTTATGAATTATTAAACTACGTTCTAGAATACCCAATTTATGCACCAACGGTTCGTATACTTATTTAAAATTGATAACAAATAACTTCTGGGTTACTAAAATTACTTATTTTAATTATAATTAAACAATGTTAATGACCATTGTTATTTATTTACAATTATGGATTATGAAACATGAGAATGATTATAAATTATTTTTATTAATGAAGTATTATTTAATAGCGGATTAAATTGAGAGGTGGTAATAAATTTACTCCAAATTATTGTGTGAAAGCTAACACACGTTTAGTGTACACATTTTTAATTTTTTTTTACTTAACTTACATAGGAGTTTATTGGCAGTGTTTGACGACGCCTTAAAATTACAGTAATATCGGCTTCTCTTTCGTATGAAAAATACGCGTACGATATAATTAAATAGGATTTTATTACGTTGAAGGATATTTTATACTAATATGATTAAATAATAATAAATTAAAATTAATTTTTTTATTTATTGCACGGTTCATTTAAGAATGATTAAATGACAACTTTATTATATTCAAGAAATTCCATAGCTTTTAAAGTAATAAAATTAATTAGTTGTTGTTTAAAATATGAAACTATTTTTTATGAGTATCTTTAACTATAGATTTTTGGACAAGGTAGATGGCCACTACCCGTTCATTATACTTTCATTTGTAATCCGTATTATAGAAGCTATGGGTAACGCTGCTTTTTTAACAGCCAGTTTTGCCATAATTGCTATGGAATTCCCAGACAATGTTGCTACGACATTTGTAAGTAAATTTAATCTAGAGGTTTTGCTGAATAGTAAATAGTAATAATAATAATTAATTTAGGCATCGCTTGAAACATTTTTTGGTCTCGGACTCATTGTTGGTCCAACAGTTGGAGGAGCTCTGTACGAGGTACTATCAATAATTAGTGAAAATTAATTACTGTTGTAACATTTAATAAAATATAACTCGAACACGACTCGTTCTTTTTTAGATCGGCGGTTACGTTACTCCATTTTTGGTACTTGGTTCTGCACTATTCCTTTCGGCTGTCATGACAGCTTTCGCCCTTCCAGATCATCCTAACAGAAGGAGGGACGTTCCCAGTGATGGTAAGTTGGTTGTTTACGCAGCCTTTGCTTATAAACATTAATATTTAAACATTTTTTTCACTATAGCTAGTTTACTTAAAGTTTTAAAAATTCCTGGCATACTTTTGGCTGCAGCTAGTATAATTGTCACGTCAATGAGTATTGGATTCTTATCTGCCACTTTGGAACCACATTTAAGACAGGTAAATATTTGTGTCTTGATTTTTTCCAATTTAATTTGATGGACTTAATATTTTTTATCAGTTCAATTTATCACCGATGGTGTTAGGCCTCATGTTCGTCATTAATGGAGGAACCTATGCTTTGACAGCTCCTTGGTGGGGATGGCTTTGCGACAAAATAATGCCTGCGAAAGTCGTTACTTTACTTGGGTGCATTATACTCATGGTTGGTTTCAGTCTCATCGGGCCCGTGCCATTTTTGAACAGACCTACGTGAGATATACTTTGAAAAAATATAAAATTCGGTGAATACATTATATTAATTAATTCATTCGATTTTAGGGAACTGACTGTTACCATAATTGGATTGGTACTCCATGGAATGGGAATGGGTGCTCAATTGGTTGCATCGTTTACCGACGCATTACGGACAGCAGTGTGAGTTTGATTTCTTCATTACTATTTTAATTTGTCTGAAACGTCCGAATTATAATCGGAAAATGTTTACAATAACATTATTTATCGGGCCTTTATTAAAAAGTGATTGAATTATTTTTCGAAGGGCTAAAAATTAAAAATAGCATGAAGTTTTGATACATTACGTGTTTATTAATTTTTAATTAAATTATTTTGTAACTTATTAGTCAACACGGATTCTCCAATAGTTTGGAAACATATGGATTAATATCGGGCTTATGGACGTCTACTTTTGCACTTGGCGCCTTCATCGGGCCATCCGTAGCAGGCGTACTATATGATATTGTGGGATTCGGCACAGCGACTGTGTTTGTCATTGTTTTATCTGCAATGGTGGTAAGTACAACTACAACCACTCTTAGAAAGTTTTCATTTCAACAGTAATTGTGTTGTAAAAAATGTGTCACATTATTTTACACCGCTTAATGTCGTTTGTAAACTTTGTGTAAGTGAACGAGTGTTTGTACAAAGTGATAGATACTCGAGTTTCACGAGTACGTGTAATTTATTTGTTGAATGAAAACAAATGAAATAGCCATAAGATATGTAATCAAAGTGTGTGTTACCGCAATTTTGAACCATGTTCAATGTCATAAAACGCAATAAATAAAACAACTATTATGGAAATTTAAAACACAACAACTAAACGGTATTGTTAATGCGTATAATGTAGAACGTGAGTAGTTCGGAGTAATGAGCGATCACTGCTCGATAATTTTTAATGTTCGGATACTAATCTTGTTACATTGTCCAATGAAAGAATTGATAATCATTAAGTTATTTGAATACTCAGACATGTTTGCAGCAGTAGTTACATTTGAAATATTTTATTCGACAGGGTGTGTCGGTGTCGTTATTCTTGATGTTTTCGCGGCCACCGAGAAACATCAAAGACGTGCACAATTTAGAAGAGCTCATGGATCCAGTTACTAAAAGCGCAATGGAAAACGGGTCGGCGGCAATGTCAACGGGCAACGGCAATGGCGGATACAATGGCCTGATGTCTGCGGCCATGTCTTGTCCCGTGCCCACAGAGAGACCGCCAGGTATGGACGGTATTATAGCGTGTAGTAGCTACAAAAACAGATTGGGCACGTGGAACCGGAAAGAGAGTGAGCTGATTATTGGCAGTAGCTATGTCGAAGAAAACAGGGGTTTGCTGAGTCCATAAAAACCTGTAAATTGTAAACCTAACCCTTGTTTTGAAACGCATTAATTTTATTAGATTTTATTTGTAAAATTTTACGTGTGTACCTCCCATTCCTTTATTGATTATGGTTTTTGTTTACTATTTATAATTCGTTGTAAGCCCATACGTTTATTTATTTTATGATAGGAAGTGAGCAGAAAAGTTGGCCTAAGTTTAGATATTTATACAAGTTACTGTTATTTGAAATGATTTTTTTTTTTTTTTTTATAACATACGTTGCGTTAGATATCGGGGCTTGATATTTTTAGCCTTGACGAATTATCTTATTTTATGAGTATGTTTTTATTTTTAGCCAAATCATTTATTTGGTAAACCTTTTTTGTGAATCTCTAATAAAAATGTTTTCATTTTTTTCAATAATTATATTTTATTTTTTAGAAAGTCAATATTCTAGTGTGCTATTTTTACTACATTAAAAAAATCATATAAAGTAAATGAATTTGAGATAACTCAAATAAAAAACTAATCTAGAATGTAAAACGGATATTTTTACTGTCACTAATGTAGCATTATCTATAAGAAGGACTAGTGCTGGATTGTATATATTATACATTACAAAGCTGGATTTCTGCTAATCCAGTGGTATTCAACATTTTATTTTGTTTAATAAAAAAGTATTAATTTTTATTATTTTTTTTAATTTGCTTTCATTTCATGATATTATGTATTTTTAGGAGCGGTATTAGATTTTTACGTAGCACTACCTCTATTTTCAAGCAATAATATGAATTTGTTATTTTTTTTTTTATCTTTAATATTCTAAAATTGTAACGCCTGGCCTAATGTCAGATGTTACTGTCATAACGTAATTATAGTACATAATATATAGTAATAATAATAATAGTAATGTAATGTATAGCTACATTACCTCTAGCCGTGTCTGGAACTGTGCTCTTACCAGTTACCATATACAAAGAAGTATACTACACAGGAAAATAATTCAGAAATCAATTGTATTCACAATATTATGGCGACACTGTCTATAATTATTTCAGCGACGTTTATAAAAGTATGCAATGATTTTTTATATCTATGGTTTATGCTATACGGTTATCTTTAGTATTTAAAAATTTGTGTTTAAACTTTTGTTAAAATCCCTCCCATCGAATAAAATAATTTTTTTTTTGCTCTTCAATATATTGGTACTTAGCGGGTGCAAAAGAACATTTTTTGACGAGCAAAACAAAAATGTGGTGGTGGGACAGCCGAATTCTCTTGTTTTTGGTGTGCGTACCTCAATTTCTGAAGTTTTACGCTACTCGTTTATAAGCTAAATAATTGGGATTTAATTGGGTTTTAGTAATGGGAACCGTGTACTTTGAAAATGTTCATTGATCGTTATTCAATACCAATCACTTTTCATTTGACGAATAGTGTGAGCCCATCTTGTCATAAGATCTTCATAACACGAAGATTCGTTTTTTTGATCGTGTTTTATATGGTTCAACTTTAAAAATATTCCACTAAAAATGGGTAAAGTGGAACCAATTTTGGCTAAAATAATTTTTTAGCAATGAGAGGTTCCAAACGAATTTTTTATTAAGTTAATTGAATTTTAAATGATATTTAACTCTTTGATATTTATTTTGAAACAATGCAACAGAAAAGGTTTCATTTTTACTCCTAAAAATGTCAATTATTACGATTTTGGGATGGTTAGTATACTTAATTTCGTAATTAGTTTTTTTCAATTATTCTAATTAACTATTACTGAGTATTGCGTTTTATGCTTCTATTACTTAAGATTTTCATATTATATTTTCACTTTTTTGTACTATCATAATGTTAATAAGATTATACTCAAGGTCTGGATGTGAAAGATAAAGTTTAAATTAATTACTTTAACAAACCAACGTAAAACGTGCAAGTAAATAAATAATAATGCAATTTATGAAATTTTAAAATAGTCATTCAGCTTGAACAGCTAAAATAAATTTAAAATGCGTAAGTCAAATAAATAATTGATAACTTATTTAATAAGATAAACATTTTTTAAATACAAGGTTAATTATTGATAATTAGATGTAATAATTTCTATATGCAATTATTATACATTGATCAATAGTATTTCTGTTTAATAATATCTATTTACAAACGTACTTAAATGATATTCCCGCGTGGCGTTAAACTTTTGTTTGTTAGCACTTAAAAAAAACCTACTTAGCAAATTTAATAAGTTTATTTTTATTAATTAACACAACATAATTAGTTTTTTAAAATAAAGACTATGGCTTTGTGTATTTGAAAAAATAATATTTCATTTTAAATACAAAAAAAAAAAATTATATAAATAAATATAATAATTGGGTTCTTATAGACTGGCTAGGTAAACAAAACATAGAACAGGATAAAAAAATTATTTTATCTTGGTTCAACTTTTAGGTGCCAAAGAGATTTTTTTTGTGATTTTCTCATTGGCGATGTCTGTTTTCTGGTGCAAGACAGCCATAATACCCGTACCGTCCATATTTGGCCTAGCCAAGAACCATCTTTGACTACCTAACATGTGAAAGAAGTATCCACCACCCTCTGTAGCATGTAAAGTTCAGGAAATAGAAGGATGTTAAACTGACCATTTTTTAAACAATAATTTCAATACGGAGATACTTATATAACATTTAAATTCTTAATATCCAATTAAATGTACGTACTAACAGAAAGTAAAGGAAACATTTTTTTTGGATTTATTAATTAAAAGAGTAAGAGGGCGGCTAAATTTTGTAATTTATTGAAAAACACACAGAAGCCCAAGTACGTTCCGAACAATTCTAACCACAGCTGGAAATACAAAGTATATTTTGATAATGAACTGGAGGTTATAAAAGAATAGCAAGATTCAATGGATATGGCAAAACCATAAATTCTAAATTAGTCCGAACACAAAAGTGAAATAAAGAAAACGGGACAATTAGTATATATATTAGCGTGGAGAACAAAAATTAATTAGGTCGCTCATATTATATTAATTGGGCATTTTGAATGGGAAAGAAAGAATTTTGGTATTACTTTAGTTACTACTAAGAATAATAATTTAAAAGATTTATTAGGTGACCCTAAAGATAAAATTGAAGAAAAAGGAAAATCAGACATTTGTGTATTTTAAAATACAATGTGAAAGTTGTGATAAATGTTGCGTAGATAAAAACAAAACACAGGGAAATATTAAAAATGAAGTAATTGATAAATCTTCTGTGGTTGAATATTTATTGTCACATAATACCTCCATTAAAACTGTAAAACTAATTAAAAATGCAAATCATTTCAAAGATCTTAATATAAGAGAGGCAGTATAAATGTTTAAAAATAAGAATAATTTAATTAATTATTATCTGGGCTCACTACAAAATTTGGTATTGAATTTGTGATAACTGGCAAAATGTAACATTCGACTAGATAATAACATCACATCAGGTGTTAGGTTACGGGTGTATAAAAGGGAGTATTTTTTGGCTATAGGTCAGTATGTGTTTAAACGTTTATGATAATAATATTGTTCCCGATTAGTACTTTTACTAGAATATTAGTACTTTTTGGAGCTTTTTGATTTATATATTTTTTAGTTATAAATTACATTTTTTTTTCTGTTTTGCAGTTATACATTTATTTATATTTCACAATTTTATTTTTCCTTAAAATATCATTACATTTTTATTCGGGGGGTCTGATCTCATTATACATGGTTCTTTTAATTATGAATGCCAATTTGTTTCACTATTTAGTGAAACAAATATTTTAAAATATCTGTACATGTCTTTAGTAGATAATTGGACAATATATAATATGAAGTATTTAGATCATTTTACTATAAAAATTAAAAAAACCAAATTGACTATCTCATTAATATATACGAAAAAGGATTTATAACGATATGATAGTATTATTTTGAGATGAGATCGTCGCATTTAAAGAAAATGTCTAATTTAATCATGAAAATTGTAGATTTCAAGTTACTTTGAACTGATTTACATTTAGTTTTGTTCATAGATATATTGAAACCTGTCTATTGTTTATTTTCAATAAATATAACATTAAGACTTTTTAAATAAATCTTACTACACCACTTTAGATAACGAGTATCAGTTATTTAACTCAAGGTCATTCTTATTTACGGAACTTAAAAATATACCGTAATGTTTTATGTATTATTTGAACAATGCTGCATTTAAATCAAAAAGCAAAATTGCATCAATAAACTATGTAAAAGCATCTGGTTACATGTTGTCCTTCTAATAAATTTAATGTGCTTTATTAGCTTTACTAACTTGGAAAAATACATTTTATAATGTATACCTTAGGAAATCTTTTAGCTCGTCTAACTTAATAGAAGAAAGATGTTTTAAAATTTGTCATTAGAGAGAAAATGGGTTTAATGTTCGGTTGTTTAAATTTGTTATTTTAAGTGGAAAACATGCTTTACTTTATTTAGAATCAAATTATGGGAGGTCTTTATGTAGTATCTTATTCAAATAGTGTAACAAATTTCAATGTAAGGTATTTAACTGTTCATAATCCATTGGTTCATTATGAATAAAAACAAAACTATATTTAGTATTATATTTTTACGGATTATTAAAAGACAATATTATTATGTGAAGAAAATTTTACAAAATTTGTACAACTATTGTTTAATAATTTGGAAATTGGCAAAATTAAATTTGATACACTACGTACAGATTCTTACAGTTTTTTGTTTTAATTTAAAAATAATTTTTCCTGGTCATTATGGTTTAGTCGAAAGATATTAGTTTTAGTTATACATTTTTTGCATATTTTATTCATTGCAACTTTAATTATTATAAACGTATTTAACACATTATATAATTCCATACCTATATTAAATGTTTAAATGTAAATACATTGTTTAAACTTTTAAAAACACAAAAATTTATATTAAAAATTTTTATCATAAAAAAACTAAAAAATCAATATTAACTATTTAAAATATTAATGTAAAACTAAAAAATAATAATATTATTAATGATCACTTGTGGTTAATATTATTAGTCGGTGATTAATTCTTATTATATATTAAGTACATTAAAAATAGCAGAATACTTAAATATTAAAATTCTATTTTCTCGACATATTTTTTTTGTTTTAATATACTAGTAATTTGATTGTATGTATGGTCAAAGACTAAATGACTTAACATACAGATTTTTAATATATTAATGCTCGGCCTTGATTGTACCTATTGTTATTGTAAAATGCAATTTTTAAATATAGGTTATCAGTGTATTACTTAATTATAGTTAATATTAGAGAATTAATTTTATAAATTTCTTTTAACACTTCAAGAATTAATTTAATGATATAATTCTTTTATCAAAAATTTTTTGTTTGTTTAATTTTCAAGGTATAATTTATACTCTTGTTATTAAATTTGCCTAATAAATATCTGTTCATTCAACTTCATATTACTTATATAGTAAAATCTAAAGTGTAGTTTATGTGTATTGGTACTTGAAACATTAATGTAATTACACATAGATAATATATCATCAAGTGATTTTATGTAATACAGTTACGAGTAATTTACTTGTTCAAACACATCTTAATTATATTTTTTTATTTGTAGCATAAGTTTTTATTGGAAATAGTTTATACACCATAATTGGAATCGTAAA